ATATTATGAGTGTGGCAAAAGGTATTGCAAAAAAACTGCAAATAAAATTTAACTTTAACACCCTGTAACTCCGTTAATAATCAGTTTTGGAAAAAATTTTATAGAAAGGGGTAGGATTTATTTTCAGTCTAGAATTATCCCCTGAATTTTTTGCTCATCATTTCCGGACACCCTGTATAGAAAACTCAGTAGTAAAAAAGGGTGAAGTATTGATGAAAAATAAGTTATATATAAATAAATAGCCAAAAATCAAAGTGCCTACCCTTTATGTTAAACTATTACTTTATCTACTCCTGCAGTAAAACACTACTTGATCTGCTGATTTGAATTGTATAAAGCATTTACTATCGAAAAAGAAATGTTTAAACTCGAAAGTACACAATCATCACCTGCTTGTTATTTTTTGACAAGCGTTGACAACTAGTTTCTGTTGTTTTGTGATTAATTTTTCGAAAATCTCAAAAAGGATACGGTGTGTGTGTGTGCGATTCAAAACAAATAAAATTCCAGTTGTGGCGGCAGTCATATAATGGTAAAAAGTTTATCCAAAGCTCAAGAAGTAAGATTTCTATATAGAGAAAACATAAATGTTGCTATTGATAGTTATTTTTGACGTTTCAGGGAAATTCAAACCGATCCGAGGACCGGGAAAAATTCAGTTTGGGGAACTTAGATTTGCTAAATTTGAGGTAAGTTTCGTACTTTTCTATGACATAATTGTGGCGGAAAATGCAAAACTATAATTTATAAAAAAAATACAATATCTAAGTCTATATCAAAGATATTTCAATGAAGTATAGAACTAGGTGATTTGGATCATGAAGAAAACATTTAATATAAAAATTATTATAGCTCACAAATTTAGAAATATCAAACTTGCTAACTAACAATAAATGAAATTATATTATTTCGACTATTTACTATTAATGTGATCTTAGGTTAAATTTTTCTTCTGACGAGACTGATCTCAAGAAAGACAAAAGCCCTAGAAAAAGCCCAATATTTCGAAGGTCTGAAAGAGGTTCCGGTGACACTTACTTGTCTAGGGTAAATGATNTGCACTGAATGGTGGTTAGGGCCTACCAACATAAGTCGTTCCTGGGCGCAAATGCGGCCTGCCTAATAATAATATGCCGCCTCCTCTCCCGCACAAGTCTCCGACTTATGGGCTAATTCTCGTAGTTAGAATGAGGAGTAGAGATATTATTATTATAATGTCGACAAACATACAATTACTAGGAATATATTCAGTAACAGATTCAATGACCCCTATCATAAGACTAAGATATAAATTTGACTTTTTATTGATGAGACCCTATAAAAATCTTGGTTGGTCGAAGAGTATCGAGTGACAACTTAAATTTATATGTAAATATATTCAAAAGCATGTGCTGAATGCAATAAAATGGAAGATTTTCCCAGTAACATTCATAATGTTATAAAAATAAATTATAAAAATTCTATATTTCAAAACTAGGGGGAGTAAAACTTCATCTTCCATCCGTGTTTCTTATATCTATGGGATAATAGAAACAGAAAGTATGGCCAAAGAGAAGAGATTTCCATCCAAGATTGAAAAACATCATCAGCGAACCCATCAAATATTCTGCTTCCACCTCTCCATATCAAACGGTCTCATGAAACAATTCGTTAAAGCTTTGGACAAAGATGGCGACTGTTATAGATACTTAGAAGAGAAATCTCTGGAGAAAAAATGATGCTAAACTGAAAGAATATGTTTTCGATAGTCCTCAAATCCGCATCATGTTTAGAGACGAAAAATTTATCACAAAAATTAATGATACTGAAGGAGCAGCATGGCTAAGTTTCAAGAAAGTCGCTCTGAATTTCTTGAGGAATCAAAAGAATGAGGATTTAATATTGTCTATTTTCCGGAGAACCTCGGATACTAGAGCGAAAAACAGGGTTTCATGAAGATATTAAGGAAATGGAGCGTCGGTACCAAGGAAGATGGGATGTTAATATGTTGGCAGATTTCTGTTGGATGCTTAGAAGGGAAAAGGGGCCAAAAATCAAATGCCTGATGTTCTATTTATCTCTTTCCCAGATTTTAGGTTTATTTTGAACGGTATAAAAATACTGGAGAGTAATATAGTAATTTCACCTTTGGATTCGGCTTCACCATGTCAAAATCCATGTCAAAATACGAGGGCATGCTGAAAAGTAATGCCTCCGAATGTTTTATTCTGTTCTCAATATCGGTAGAGGTATTACGAGTACATGTTATGCATATTACTCGGTCGACTTTCCCGCTTTACTGACACAAGTTGCAACTCTCTGTCGCTTGAATTGTAGCGTGTAACATGGCGGTGTATAACGTAACTATGTCGGTGCGTGAGAAACAGCGTACTGTAATCGAGATTGTAACCGCAGAAAAAGTGCCTCGAACTGAAATCCAAAGAAGAATGAAAGCTGTATACGGTGATGATTGTATCGACATCAGTAATGTGCGACGTTGGGTTTTTCGAAACGGAGGAGATTGAACATCTGTCAAGAATTTCTTTTGCGTTTTGAGCATGAGGGTGATGGATTCCTTAACAACATTGTGACAAGTGATGAAAGCGGGGTTCACCATTTGGCCCCGAAAACAAGAGAGCATCAATGAAGTTCCACCATAAAGGACCACCGACGCCAAAAAAGTTCAAAACAATGTCATCAGCAGGCGAAGTAATGCTCGCAGTGTTTTGAGATGTTCAAGGTGTGGTGCATTTGAAATTCATGCCTAAAGGCACCACCATAAACTCTGCAAGGTACTGCGAGACCCTCAGAAAATTGAAATTACGAATTCGAAGAACATGACAACGCCAAACTCCACAAGAGCGCTGCAACATCTGCAACAATCCGACGCCTTGGGTTCACTGTCATCAATCATCCTCCATTCAATCCCAACTTAGCCCTACCCGATTTTCATCTGTTTCCAAAACTTAAAGAACACCTTCCAGGAGCTTGTTCTATTTCAAAACTTTTAAGAGTTTTCACATAAATAATTCGGAGGCATTACTTTTCGTACATGGTCCTGCAGTAACTTCCTTTCTCTTTTTCTTTTACAATTGTTTCAAATGCTGTAGCCCCTAGAGTGAGATTTTCCGTATGTAAGGATGGTTTTTCGGCGATTTAAAAGAACGGAGGGTGAATTCTGAATTTAGATTTGGGTTCATCGTATCAAAATACATACACCTGATGCTGTTTCCTCTCAAAACGAGATTCAGTATTTTCTGTATTTAAGGGCGGTTTTTCCTGATTTAAAAAAAGAAAGGTGGAATAATCTAATAAATACAATTTTAAGTCAATATTACCTTAACATTAAAACGATTGTGTTAGGAAAAGCTGCAATCTAAAATGTAGCAACACAGTAATAGAACCTGCGATGATCAAGCTGTCAAAGGTATTGGTTCGAATCCTGCCCTACAAAAAAAAGGATCGGATCTGGTATTCAGACTCATGTATTTCCATGTATTTCTTCCGCTGAATCCGAATCTTCCTTCAGATTTGGCCCAACGGGTCTGAGTTTTCGGGAAAATTAAAAAAACAGGTCAAAATTCACAAAAAACGTCATTACGATCGACGAAAGTTATAAGAAATCAAATTATTCTACCAGCTCACTTGACGCATGATTTTTCATTCGTTTAATTCCAATTTATCATCATAGAGTCAGACAAGCTGGTTCAATTTCATTCAAAAACAGAAAATAGATCAAAATGCTTATAAACCTCCATTTTCATGGCATAATTCGTGTTTCAGAGTACTGGATCCAACTTTTTATCCACCCACCCATTTATGAATTCATACATCTTTCTATCCAGTCGTTCATGCATGAATACGCATGTTTATTCATCCACCTGTACCACCTATAAAACCCACCCATCCACCCATCTATCCATCTACTTTTTGTACTGAGAGATGAGATAACAGNGCTTCGCGATACAAACGTCGTGCTGCAAGAGCATTGCCAGCAGCTAAACCGTAATAATAATGCATGTCCCGCAACTCCACGTTAGAGTAATTGTTGTTCATTTTTATTATTATTTTTATGATAACAATTACTACAAAAGAACTTGTACAAAATTACTATCTGTCAAAACTAATTCTCCACAATCTTGTTTCCAAGGCAACTAAGCGCTTGTTTCCGAAGCATGTTATGTTTAATGTAGAAAATAAATTAAAATGATTTCGTATTCATCACATGCTACAATGTTATTGTAGCGTTTTTCTCGAAAACGGTTAGATTTATCGAAACAAATAAAGTTTACCTTTTTTATGGCAAAAGGTTAGGAGAACAAAAATATTCAGTTAAATTTCGCATAAAGTGTAGCACAAAAAAGTTGGAACCATTCAAATCAAAATAAAGGCTCGTACGTGGCGCCCTCTACAAAATGCGAAAAAACGGTGGGCAAATTTATAATCCTCATCCCGAAAAACCCCAACCCCTATAAACAAAATTTCGTCAAAATATTATGAGTGTGGCAAAAGGTATTGCAAAAAAACTGCAAATAAAATTTAACTTTAACACCCTGTAACTCCGTTAATAATCAGTTTTGGAAAAAATTTTATAGAAAGGGGTAGGATTTATTTTCAGTCTAGAATTATCCCCTGAATTTTTTGCTCATCATTTCCGGACACCCTGTATAGAAAACTCTGTAGTGAAAAAGGGTGAAGTATTGATGAAAAATAAGTTATATATAAATAAATAACCATAAAATCAAAGTGCCTACCCTTTCTGTTAAACTATTACTTTATCTACTCCTGCAGTAAAACACTACTTGATCTGTTGATTTGAATTGTATAAAGCATTTACTATCGAAAAAGAAATGTTTAAACCTGAAAGTGCACAATCATCACCTGCTTGTTATTTTTTGACAAGCGTTGACAACTAGTTTCTGTTGTTTTGTGATTAATTTTTCGAAAATCTCAAAAAGGATACGGTGTGTGTGTGTGCGATTCAAAACAAATAAAATTCCAGTTGTGGCGGCAGTCATATAATGGTAAAAAGTTTATCCAAAGCTCAAGAAGTAAGATTTCTATATAGAGAAAACATAAATGTTGCTATTGATAGTTATTTTTGACGTTTCAGGGAAATTCAAACCGATCCGAGGACCGGGAAAAATTCAGTTTGGGGAACTTAGATTTGCTAAATTTGAGGTAAGTTTCGTACTTTTCTATGACATAATTATGGCGGAAAATGCAAAACTATAATTTATAAAAAAAATACAATATCTAAGTCTATATCAAAGATATTTCAATGAAGTATAGAACTAGGTGATTTGGATCATGAAGAAAACATTTAATATAAAAAGTATTATAGCTCACAAATTTAGAAATATCAAACTTGCTAACTAACAATAAATTAAATTATATTATTTCGACTATTTACTATTAATGTGATCTTAGGTTAAATTTTTCTTCTGACGAGACTGATCTCAAGAAAGACAAAAGCCCTAGAAAAAGCCCAATATTTCGAAGGTCTGAAAGAGGTTCCGGTGACACTTACTTGTCTAGGGTAAATGATATCAAGCTAAAAATGTTCCGTACCCATTTTTTATATTTTCCAGCATCATCACCCTTTGGAAAAGTCAGATACGAGGACCCTAATTCCCAACATATCCAAATTGCCCAAAGGTTTGTACGTCTATGGTCAATTCCTTTGACGTTTTCCAAAAATGTGTCCTTGAAGCAAATATATTTTGGTACATTGTTATGTTCTTTTAGGTTATGGTAATTATAGACCCAGTACCTCTACGATTCCGTCAGAGAATCTCATATTGCTGTACTCAAAAGAGAAGAAACCAGAACGCGTGTTCACGGAACCAATAAGCCGCAAGGATTTTCTTTTTCCTAGCAAAAAGAAAACCAAGGCGCAGGTTATTGACGTCGTATCCGAGGATAGAATGTCAAAATATAAGTGAGTAGCTAAAAAAATTACGCATATAATGGAAGTAGTCATTGAAAAAAGATATACGATTTTTTTTGCTACCAGAAGAATTATAGAAATCTTAAAGCATTTTCAGAGATTTTCCTAAATACCAAATATATAACTTGTTCTTTTTTTAATTAAATCTTGTAATAGCTGAATGTAATTTTATTTTATTTGTAAATTTCGACCAAAAGCAACTAACTTTTTTCAAAAACAGAGTTTAATATAGCTCGCAGTTTACCAAAATAGACAGCGGCCATTTTCCCTTCAAATTGACACCGAGTGGAAACCTTAAAGTTGAGTCCTCCCAGGTATTGAGATACGCGTAGTTTCTTTCTAGCTAAAAATTTAATATCCACATCGTTCCAGGTAGTTTTTTCATCCAATAAATTAAGTGTACTTGTGGCTGATCCGAAAAATACCAAAGTCAACATACACCCAGAGGCGAATTATAGCAGAATGGCGCATGAGACAGATTTTTCTAAAACTTCTGCAATGGATACCATCATGAGTCAGGTTGGAACCTTTCCATAATTGCTTCATCATTTTCAAAATATAACACTAGCTGACTCGTACTTTAACTGACGAGGGTAATGACCTAAACAAATATTTTTAGGCTGGATTTTCTAGTCTGGGCACCATCATAGGCAACACTCCAGTTAGAAGCGGGAACAAAGAAGCTTCCGAATATGAGAGCAAGCAGACTTCCGAAATACTGGATCCCGAATTGAATCTTGGCAGGTGCTAAATTTGTAATTGACTTGTCTTTCCACTAGACTTTCTTTCGGTTATTTTACAGATTAGGATATAGCGGTTCAGACGAAATTTCTTGGCAAAAAGTTGTGTTGCCGGAAAAGAAAAATCTTTATTTAGAGTTGTACTCTAGAATCACTAACTACACGTAAATATTTCATATTAGTGACGTATTTTTGAGATAAATAAAAGCTTTTTCTAGGAATGCAGATTGCAAAGTTTACATCGACAATGAAGAATTCAATTGCCACCTTATCGTGCTTCAGTGTTACTCTGAGCTGTTTGATGCTTACATAGCGGTGAAAAAAGTGGAATTGCCCTCGGTAGATTTTAGAGATTTACACTATTTTCATTATTTACTTTATTTTCTACTTATGTATTTAAGGACAAATGCAGTGCATCTGCGTTTGCTTTCATCTATGAATGGATGATAACCGGAGAACCCTCATACAAGGAACTAAATAGAGAAAACGTCCTGGATATCTTCAATTCCGCAAAATACCTGAAAATAAAAGGTGAGTTACCGCCTTTGCTTCTTATAGATATTGTCAGCGTTTGAGTTCTTCCAAAGCAGCAAACACCATTAGCAACTTCTTCACACTCATTCACTCTACCTTGTAGACCTAGTAGAGCAGTGTTGGGCGTTCATCGACCACGCTGACGTCTTCAACGAAGACACCGCCTTCCTACTCTACATGGACGCTAAGGAAAAGAATCTGCCAGAGGTTCGAGAGCTTATGCTGCCAAGGATTCAGGGCTTCTTCCTCATGCTAGTCAGTTCGCAGAACTGGCTGGAGCTCGAACTAGAGGACGTGAAGAACCTCCTGAAATCGAATTACATTTGCGTCAATTGGTAAGCTGAAGGAAGAATCTCCTTAAGTGTTACTATTATTTCTTTTTAGCGAAATGGAGATTTTCATGTCCGCCGTTCGGTGGTTGAAGCACGACTGGTCGAACAGGGACAAATACAAGTATGAAATATTAGAATGCGTTCGCTTCGGGAACATAGCACCATGGCAATTGGTTGATATAAAGAGGAATCCGGAAAATCCAGACTTCATGGAATTAGCCAGAGATTCCAGAATTTGCAAAATGATTGACGACGGCTTGGCGTAAGGAGATTTTAGGACTTTCCTATAACTGTACCAACTATACCAAAGTTTTTTTTTTTGTAAAAGGAGGATAACTTTTACAAATAGTAGCATTAATGAACAAAACACCTTTTTTCCAGTTATGTAATCATCAAGTACTGGTATGGCCAAGAGAACGACGACTTCCAGCACTGGAACGCGGTCCTGGGATTGCAAGAACCGCCTCCGAGAAACTGGAGCGGGTCTGACAAGACTTACTTCACCTACAGGGAGTTCCTCATCTACCTGGACCAGTACAGAAGGAATCAGTTGATCGAGAAGAACAAACCCAGGATGTTGAATGAATCGAAGCACGACGCTAAGGAGTACAACAAATTCCGGAACAACCAGGCGCCGACGGAAAATAACTCGCCAAGGGTTCCCACAATGGAGGAATTCCTATCGAAAAAGAAAGTAAGTACTAACTATAGCCAGCAAAAGAAGATAAATAAAGTGGTATCGTGATCGGTCCGGAAAATTTTAGTGATATATTTTTTAGTGGACGTTTGGAAAAATGTAACGTACTGTATATTGTGGCATTGTATTTATCATGAAAAGGTTTCCATAAAAATTATTAAATAGGAAGATGTGTGTGTTCATTGATTTCGGAATATTTTAGTTTCAAATCAGCAAGTAAAAATTTTTAATTAGTATTTATAGTTGTTTTCTAATTACCAAAATAAAAGTTATTGATAATACAGGGTGTAACAGCGACTTTGTGACAAATTTTCAGGACTGATTCCCCTCTTCAAAACAAACAAAATTGATTCCTAAGTTCTCCGTATTCTTAAAAAATTGCAAACGAGTCATACATTTTAAAGAACTAATTTTAGTGCAGTGTGGTTCCCTCATTTTACACAGTAAGGCAGCTACTTGAAGAGTGTATAAAATTGAGTAATTGATTAAAACCTCAATCTTTGAAGGATCGTAGGAGTTGTTTTAGAAAGAAATGTTACTCTTTTGTTTTTGTTTCGATGATCCCAAAGTTTATCGCAACGTCGCAGTTACATCTTGCAGATGGTTGATAACAGGAGTCATATAATTGAAAATAATGGTGAGTTGTCTGTGAAAATGATGTCGGTAACTTTATAAACTATAAATGTTGACAGGTCACATCTGAAATACGATACAACAATTGGTAAGTAATGACAGACATGTAAGTGCATATTAAGTTTAGTACATTACAGACTGTGATTACAGGCTAACAAAAGGTAAGACAACTTAGCATTGTTGTGTTCACTTTTCATTTTTTTAACAAAATGCACTTGCGATGCCCGAATCTTACCTTTTGTCGACTTGTATTTCTGTTAAAAAAATCTTCAAGTTAAGCGACAATAATCTATTTATATTCAGGATCAGGAAACAAAAACGTTGCACTCTGGAAATACAAACTGGAAGTTATCTCAGAGCCGTTTTACGAAACCTAAAAGAAAAGTAAAGAAGTGGATGTCGAAAAGCGAGGCAGCTAAAGTAATCCAGAGGGCTTTCAGGAATTACATGCGAAGAACATTGGTGAGTAAACTCAATAAAGAAATCGTGATGAAGTTTAGACCTGGAGATCTCAAAAAGAATCAAAGAAGGGATAAAGTGTTAGAACTCTTCAGTGTCCGTGGAAAAGAAACTTCTGGGTAAATAAACATCTTCATGAATTTCCATGACGTTAATTTAAACCTATTCCAGTAATAAACTAAGCAAAACAGCTCGGAGTCCTGCTAGAAAAGACTTATTGACGAACAGATCACTGTTTCAAAAAGACCATGAAACTGTCCTGGTATTTGGTGGAGTGGACCCTCACAATGATTACGGAGTAGGAAGGAACACGGGCAAAAACATTTATCGGTACTTCACTGATGAAAACGCATGGGAATTTGTAGGGGAACTACCCGAACCGAGACATCACCATAGCGTCCAGTTCTTAAAAGGAAGAATCTATCTAGTAGGTAAATATATCGCACTATTATATTAGGAATTGTGTAAACTGAGATTGCCTGTAATTTCATTGGGTAGGTGGTGCTGATCCCAGAGAGGACGAGGTTGTAGGAAAATGTATTATCCTCAGAAGCGTGTGGAGTTTCGACCCAGTAACCAGAAATTTTTTCAGCGAACCATGCCTTTATGAAGCCAGGAAGAATTTTGGACTGGTGTCTTGTAGCCAGGGGCTATATGCCATCGGTGGACAAGGTCAAGACTACGAGTAAATATTTTTCATATCACACCTTACAAATGAGTCACAGCGTAATAGCAATGTTCCGACAAACATTTACGGATGATTCAGCTCATAAAAAAGCATGAGCAACCCTTTTCCCTAAAGAGCTTCTTAAGGTCTATAGGATCCTTCAAATATTGGACTTAAAACACAATTTGCACTCAGTTATTGAAAGGCTATTAACTATCTTAAATTTGAATTGTGCAAATTTAAAATCATGCAGGGCGATGAAAATATTGAAAATACGAAATATTTTAATTGCAATTAAATAATTTGACATCTCGGAGAATATTTTGCAGTCTAGGAAAGATTATTTCAAATTAAAACTTTTCTGGCAATAAAGATTTTTTATCTCAGATCATACTATTAGCATTTAAATCTTCATCAACATACAACCGTAACGCTAAATTTGTCTACAGCGGACACACTCAGATGCTTCTTTTCGGTTCTGTTCACACTGTTGATATTTGATGATTAGGGCACGGAAAACGATACACACGATTCATCTTTGACGTCAGAAAGGTGGGGACAAGATTTTTTATAGCGTGTCTAAATGTTTTATTATATACAACCTAAAAACATATTCATTTAAAGGAACGGTGTTATATGCCATAAAAAAACAGATCTTGCAATTTTAAAAATTAAGCGACCACAAAAATATAACAATTTTCTATATATAACATACTTGATACATATTTTCAGGCAAATGCCAGTACATATGCAACAACCTAATTTGGACGTTAATGTGTTAAACAATTGATTAGCTGTTGCTAAGGAATGTAATTAAATACAGATTAAACATTCTTTGATAAGGACAGATTCATCAGTTAATAATTCTGAACAGCTTATTTGAGAGTAATACAAAATTTTAATCTAAAATTGTGCAGATTAAATTCCAATTATCTTTGCTATAAATAGCAGTTAAACCTAAAAAATTGTAAATTATAGTTAATATGCAATGAAACAGAAACGTCAAGCACATCTAAAATTGTCAACCTGCCATTTTGGGGCAAAACGGAAACTACGGTTACGGTACTTGATCCATCAAGGAAATCATTTGATCATCCTTATACGAATGGTTTTAAAAGTGGTCGTCAGTCAATTGAAAATGATCCTCGACCAGGAAGCCCTTTCACTTCAACTGATCACTACTACGTTTAGAAAATAAAAGATCTGGTGCGTGCAAATCGCCGACTGACTGTCAGAGAAATTGCAGAAGAGGTTAGAATCTCGATTGGGTGATGCCATGAAATTTTTATTGAAAAATTGAACATGCATCGAGTTGCAGTAAAATTGGTTCCTTGTTTGATTACAGAACAACAGAAAAAAAATCATGTGGACGTTTGTTGACAACTCCTTGAACCATCCAATGACGATGAAACATTCATTCAAAGGATCATAACGGCGACAAAAGTTGTGTTTGCGGCTACGACATCTAGGCAAAAGTTCCATCATCAAATGGATTGGTAAAAAATCTCCACACTCCAATCACGTCAGTCTCGATCCAACGTCAAAGTGAAGCTCACTGTTTTTTTTCGAATTTAATGGAATTATGTATTTTACCTACGACCACTACTGTAAATACTTAAAAACACACCGTCTGCGATCAATGTAAGATTCCTATTACGTACGGTAAAAAAATCGCACAGTTTTCCTAGCAACCGCCTAGCAACGGTCAATACAATACTGTTTGTATTGACCGTTGCTAGGCGGTTGCTAGGAAAACTGTGCGATATTTTTACCAAGCTGTGCGATTTTTTTACCGTATGATGTAAGAGGAATCTTGCATTGATCGCAGACGGTGTGTTTTTAAGCATTTAAAGTAGTGGTCGCAGGTAAAGTATAGTACGTAATACGTGGTGTAATGCAATTACGCACTCATAGAATTACGCACTCGCCGCTACGCGGCGTCGTGCGTAACTTTTCCATTCGTACGTAAAATGATTTTTACAACACTTATTACGTAATATACTATTAAATTTTTACCTCAAGGTGAAACAGTGAAACGTGCATCAAGTCGTTTTACAACGGTTACGTGAAAAAATTCGCAAAAAGAGAACTCATGGTTCTTGCACCATGGCAATGCGCCCGCATACTCAGCTTTGTCAATTCGTCAGTTTTGTGCCAAAAATCAGATTACTGTCCTCCTTCACCCTCCTTACTCGCCAGACCTAGCTCCTTGCGATTTTTTCTTATTTCCGAAATTAAAACCGTTTTCATACTATGTTAATGACATCAAAGCAAATGTTTCGCGAAATGAAACACCGCTGGGAAAAGTGTGTGAATAGTCTTCTATTCACACACTATTATGAAGGAGACAAGGACCAATAACGTATAAAATTAATAGGTAATAAAGTTTAAAAAAAATAAAATTCGGTTATTTTCTGAAGAGCCCTCGTATATTTTCAGTGATTTTTGAGTCAATTTTGATCAATAAAAACTGTTTTAATCGTAATCTTTGAAGGATCCTGGAGTGTTTGGAAACCGTTTTACACAAAAATGTTAATGTTATTCATGTTGTATTTGGTTATTTTGTATATTTTTAAACCCTGTTCACTTTTTTGTAGATCCTTACAGTCTGTAGAAAAATTCAGTATAGAGGAGAGATTATGGGAAGCTAGAGCCCCAATGATATATAACAGAATAGGCCCAGCTTGCTCTAAGTATAAAAATTATATTTGGGTTGCTGGGGGTTTGTCTGGAAATAAAAGTAAACGTATTCTGCTGGACACGGTAGAGAGTTACAATATAAAAAGTGATCAGTAAGTAAAAAAATCATTTAGTACTAAAGGTACCCTCGATTTTAATCAAAAAATTTGATCAATTGATTGAGTCAAGCGTTATTGACCGCTTGAGGGCAATAAAGTCAAGGCAAGGAAGCCACACCATTCACACCATGGGTATTTCACAAACCACAATACCACATAAAAAAGTACAATTTCACGATGTGCACGGAAACTCCACTACGAATGAGTATTGATCAAAAGTTTGGCCGGTTGATTGAAGCGCACGTCAATCAATTGACTCAATATTTTGATTAAAAAATTGACCGTCTAGGCCTGTTTAATTCACAATATCTGTTAATAATAATGTTCACCTATCAGTTTTTGAGGATACATTTTATTAATGTCTTGTCAACTTCGGAATTCATGGCACTTTTTTCCAGAACACCCTCTATAAATTCAGTTAGAACTTATTTAATTTCTGTATTTTCCTACGAGGTGGACCGAAATAAGGCAGCCGCTCCAATTTCCGAGATGCTTTAGCTGCCTTTTCACTATGGGAGAACGGTTATATTTGATTGGAGGTGCCGGAAAATCTGTCCAAAAGGATGGCAAGGAGATTAGCAGCGTAGGGGACATAGACATGTGGGATCCCAGAAACGCAGAATGGAGGACTGTCACAGAGATGCATATTCCAAGACACGGGCATTCTGTGGCTTGTCTCGGCACCCAGATCCTTGTCATTGGAGGTGTTACTACGACGTATAAAAGAGCTCTTAGCAATATGGAATGCTTTTGCAGTCAGAGAGGTAAGCAGGAATAAAATTTTTTAAACTAATTTTTTTAAACGATTTTTGAAATAATTTCTTTTATAGGAACTTTGGTTCGCGGCCTGGCTTGTTTACCGACCGGCTTGTCTGGCCATGCTTCTGTTACGCTGCCACCTGCTTCACTTCTAGCTCATTAGAAATTGAAGTTTTCGAATTTCGAAAAATTAAATTTGAAACAACCGCTCTTTACATATTAATTTCTACGTGTAGCACCTAAGTTGCCCTACTGCCATGAAGATGGCGCTAGTATAGAAAGTATACTTTACACTGCTATTATATATTTTTGAATTTATATTTTATTTTATTATATTGGTCTTTATGTTTTATCAATATATAAATAATTATTAATGTTTTTTACCTATAAATGATATACATACGCATTAATACATAACTGTTTCAGGAACTATTTAAAGTGAAATAGTTTGTAACGTGTAAATCGATCTGCATTTATTAATGGTGTATCTGTGTCGTTCAACGGGTGCGGTGTTGTGTTCGTAAGATTTGCATACAAAAAAAATTGTAGAATTGTTAAAGAAAAGTGTGATCCAGTGGTGAAAGGTAAGGCAAATTTACCCTTCTCAATACAATTCCATTTATTCTTATATTTCTGGATTAGAGAATCCAAAATCTTGAGAAAAAGTCGATGAACTTTTGTGTACAACATGGAGGATTTCTTATCGCTTTGTGCGTGGGTGCATTCTTGATGCATTCGTCACCAAATGCACTTGTTACACATTTTTTCATCGACCTAAAATCGTGTTTTCATTATTAAATAACCCTAATAGTCCTTACTACCAGCCTGCAAGGGCAGTTGTACTATTTTTTTTATGTAAATTTGATAAGTAGATATGTACGTGAGTAATAAGTATTCCGAGAATTGTAATCTTTTAGGTGTGCCCATCACCACCGATTCACCATGAGCTACATGCAGTCTAACCAGAACCGACCAAGTAAGTAAATTTTGTTCTAGTTTTGTATTGTTAATTATTATGACTAATTACTCAATCTAAATATTTATGTAATTAAACTGTGTTCCACTCATTAGCAGCAAATGTAAACAGTGGTGTATGGAATTTATTATTATAACTCTTCAAATACTTAATTGCATATTTGGGCATCATGCCAATGATCTTTAAGTTATTATTAGGAAATATTTTATTTTCTAACAGATACAATACAAGTGTTGTTTCATCTATGAGATAAATATATCAGTGTGTTGTATTTATTTTTGTTACTTCACAGGAAATGGTCTCACATTATTTTTATTTATGGCATACAATCTTTGTTTCCTCTGTGACAGAAGAATTTTAAATATTTTTTAGAGGTAGCAGTATGGTGGTATTAAAAAAAAAGAATGTTAAAAAAATCAAAAGTTGCTTACATAAGTCAGTACTGAATTAATTAGATACCTAAATATATAATTTCAAATGCAAATTTTCTCAATATGCCAGTATTTACATTGAATATATATAGAATTTTTACTCTAAAACTTTCTGAAATGAAGTCGCCAGTTATCTGATTCTTTGTAAACAATCAAAACACCATTTTATCTCTTACACTTTATTGTTTCTAGTTATGAACTAAATTGTATACTAGCATTTTTCTTAAAACAATATATATGTAACATTTTCTAAATGAATTGAGAAAATTAAACCCAATTTTTTTATTCATAATTCCATAATTCTTGAGCTTTGTACTTTTCAGTGTCGCAGGGACACTATCAAGGTCCCGGAGATTTACCAATGCCTTCGTCCAAAGAGCAGACCATTATGTGGCAGCAAAACACTTACATGGCTGACTCTGGAATTCATTCTGGAGCTGCCACACAGGTACCATCTCTCTCTGGAAAGGAAGATGAAGAGATGGATCTGTTTGATTTAGATCAGGGGTACCAAGGATTCACCCAAGATCAAGTAGATGAAATGAATAACCAGCTCAACCAGACACGTTCACAGAGGGTTCGCGCTGCCATGTTTCCGGAGACACTCGAGGAAGGTAGGAAAACAGATTTTTTGATAATCAACTATTTACTGTATGTTTCAAATGTATTAGTTCCCTACTCTAAACATGAACTATAAAAAAAGGACGTGCGAAAAATTGTGAATAAGATAGAGATTACATCTTTACATATATGTTAATACCCTGTACCAAGTTGCTCTTTATTATATACAAGGTGCGGCAGAACCATTTAAGCAGTTTGAGGAGTTATAAAAAAAATTGGGGTATATAGAGAAAAAATGTTTTTATTTTCGAAGTTAGTAGTACATACCATTTTATATTCATTAAGTTTTGAAAATAATGCCCCCAAGATGGCAGACGTTAGCAGCAATATACTTTTGGAGACGATCTCTCAAGTTTTGAATAGCTCATTGACAATATATCGCGAGATATGGCATTCTCTTCTTCAATAATGTGCTCTCTTGGCTCTGGCAGGGTGTGAGGGTGACGTTTAAACACCTTTTTCTTTAGATATCCCCAAGAATGAAGTCACAAATGCTCAAATCTGATGACCTGCGCGGTCATCATCATCCCTTAAAGAGACGCAGAAACATTTCTCTCAACACATTAAGTGAATTTCAGGCTGTGTGAGCTGTAGTGCCAGCCTGTTAGAACCACAAGTCTTTCAATTCCTTTTCTTCAACAATCTCTTCCATTGTAAGCTGCAGAAAATTTTGCAACATTGAAACATATCCGGAATTCATGGTCGCGCCTTCCTCCTCAAAGAAGTATGCCTATCACGCCAAATTATGATACGTCACACCACACTGTTAGTTTAGGGCAGCGGTCGGCAACTGGCAGACCGCAGAAGGTAAAGAATTGGACCCCCAAAAATTCTTTGAAAGTATAATTACTCAGATTATTAAAAAAAATTATTTTACTGATAACAATACGTTTGAGTGCCACCCTTTTCATTTTTTCATGGTTAGTAGATTAGTAAAAACACTGACTCAAGACCGCAAATGTTGACTGATTGAATGCAAATTAAAATAAAAAATTAGTAGGTAANTGGAATATTCCTTCCTTTTGCTTAATTACCTCACAATTAGCAACAATTCTTTCTCTCAGTTCATCGACGCTATTCACAGGTGTCCTGTATACAAGCGTCTTCAAATAGCCCCAAAAAAGAAATCGATTGGGTTTAAGTCAGGGGATCTAGGGGCCCACTGTACAAAACCACCGCGTCCTATCCACCTTTCAGGAAAAGTTTCATTTAAGAATTCTCTGGCCGCTAAATTAAAATGCGGTGACGCGCCACCTTGAAGCAGCCACATTGCATTTCTTAATCCGAGTGGTACATCTTCCAATAGAATAAGTAAGTGATTTCTTAAAAAATTCAAGTAAACTTCACCATTGAGTCTTTGTGGAAAGAAATGTGGCCCAATTAAGTAGTCCCCTACAATACCGGCCCACACGTTGACGGAAAACTTATTTTGATAACCACGCTCTATTGATAAATTACGATTCTCATAACACCAAAAATGCTCATTGTGGAGGTTTATTAAGCCATCATGGCCAAATCCAGCTTCGTCCGTGAAAAGGATATTACGAACAAAATTTTGGTCACCATTATGAAGTATTCTAATTGTATTGCAGAAATTCGCACGAGCAGCAGGATCTACGGCAGATAAGGCTTGCACCTTTTGGTAGTGGTACGGATGAAAGTTTTGTTCGCGTATTGTTTCATGTACGGAGCTCTTTGGAATGCCCGCCTGAATAGCAATTGGGATTATTCTCTATCGAATTCAAAATACGAGCTTCTGCTTCTGCTCTTCTAGTATTCCGTTATCGACCTACATCAAAAATTCTAGTTTTGAACGATCCAAATTCTCCCAGTCTTCGATGAATAGTACTGAACATTCGCGATTGGGGTAGGTTTCTATTTGGAAATGCTTCGCGATACAAACGTCGTGCTGCAAGAGCATTGCCAGCAGNATGCTTTTTACAACACTTATTACGTAATATACTATTAAATTCTTACCTCAAGGTGAAACAGTGAAACGTGCATCAAGTCGTTTTACAACGGTTACGTGAAAAAATTCGCAAAAAGAGAACTCATGGTTCTTGCACCATGGCAATGCGCCCGCATACTCAGCTTTGTCAATTCGTCAGTTTTTTGGCAAAAATCAGATTACTGTCCTCCTTCACCCTCCTTACTCGCCAGACCTAGCTCCTTGCGATTTTTTCTTATTTCCGAAATTAAAACCGTTTTCATACTATGTTAATGACATCAAAGCAAATGTTTCGCGAAATGAAACACCGCTGGGAAAAGTGTGTGAATAGTCTTCTATTCACACACTATTATGAAGGAGACAAGGACCAATAACGTATAAAATTAATAGGTAATAAAGTTTAAAAAAAATAAAATTCGGTTATTTTCTGAAGAGCCCTCGTATATTTTCAGTGATTTTTGAGTCAATTTTGATCAATAAAAACTGTTTTAATCGTAATCTTTGAAGGATCCTGGAGTGTTTGGAAACCGTTTTACACAAAAATGTTAATGTTATTCATGTTGTATTTGGTTATTTTGTATATTTTTAAACCCTGTTCACTTTTTTGTAGATCCTTACAGTCTGTAGAAAAATTCAGTATAGAGGAGAGATTATGGGAAGCTAGAGCCCCAATGATATATAACAGAATAGGCCCAGCTTGCTCCAAGTATAAAAATTATATTTGGGTTGCTGGGGGTTTGTCTGGAAATAAAAGTAAACGTATTCTGCTGGACACGGTAGAGAGTTACAATATAAAAAGTGATCAGTAAGTAAAAAAATCATTTAGTACTAAAGGTACCCTCGATTTTAATCAAAAAATTTGATCAATTGATTGAGTCAAGCGTTATTGACCGCTTGAGGGCAATAAAGTCAAGGCAAGGAAGCCACACCATTCACACCATGGGTATTTCACAAACCACAATACCACATAAAAAAGTACAATTTCACGATGTGCACGGAAACTCCACTACGAATGAGTATTGATCAAAAGTTTGGCCGGTTGATTGAAGCGCACGTCAATCAATTGACTCAATATTTTGATTAAAAAATTGACCGTCTAGGCCTGTTTAATTCACAATATCTGTTAATAATAATGTTCACCTATCAGTTTTTGAGGATACATTTTATTAATGTCTTGTCAACTTCGGAATTCATGGCACTTTTTTCCAGAACACCCTCTATAAATTCAGTTAGAACTTATTTAATTTCTGTATTTTCCTACGAGGTGGACCGAAATAAGGCAGCCGCTCCAATTTCCGAGATGCTTTAGCTGCCTTTTCACTATGGGAGAACGGTTATATTTGATTGGAGGTGCCGGAAAATCTGTCCAAAAGGATGGCAAGGAGATTAGCAGCGTAGGGGACATAGACATGTGGGATCCCAGAAACGCAGAATGGAGGACTGTCACAGAGATGCATATTCCAAGACACGGGCATTCTGTGGCTTGTCTCGGCACCCAGATCCTTGTCATTGGAGGTGTTACTACGACGTATAAAAGAGCTCTTAGCAATATGGAATGCTTTTGCAGTCAAAGAGGTAAGCAGGAATAAAATTTTTTAAACTAATTTTTTTAAACGATTTTTTAAATAATTTCTTTTATAGGAACTTTGGTTCGCGGCCTGGCTTGTTTACCGACCGGCTTGTCTGGCCATGCTTCTGTTACGCTGCCACCTGCTTCACTTCTAGCTCATTAGAAACTGAAGTTTTCGAATTTCGAAAAATTAAATTTGAAACAACCGCTCTTTACATATTAATTTCTACGTGTAGCACCTAAGTTGCCCTACTGCCATGAAGATGGCGCTAGTATAGAAAGTATACTTTACACTGCTATTATATATTTTTGAATTTATATTTTATTTTATTATATTGGTCTTTATGTTTTATCAATATATAAATAATTATTAATGTTTTTTACCTATAAATGATATACATACGCATTAATACATAACTGTTTCAGGAACTATTTAAAGTGAAATAGTTTGTAACGTGTAAATCGATCTGCATTTATTAATGGTGTATCTGTGTCGTTCAACGGGTGCGGTGTTGTGTTCGTAAGATTTGCATACAAAAAAAATTGTAGAATTGTTAAAGAAAAGTGTGATCCAGTGGTGAAAGGTAAGGCAAATTTACCCTTCTCAATACAATTCCATTTATTCTTATATTTCTGGATTAGAGAATCCAAAATCTTGAGAAAAAGTCGATGAACTTTTGTGTACAACATGGAGGATTTCTTATCGCTTTGTGCGTGGGTGCATTCTTGATGCATTCGTCACCAAATGCACTTGTTACACATTTTTTCATCGACCTAAAATCGTGTTTTCATTATTAAATAACCCTAATAGTCCTTACTACCAGCCTGCAAGGGCAGATGTACTATTTTTTTTATGTAAATTTGATAAGTAGATATGTACGTGAGTAATAAGTATTCCGAGAATTGTAATCTTTTAGGTGTGCCCATCACCACCGATTCACCATGAGCTACATGCAGTCTAACCAGAACCGACCAAGTAAGTAAATTTTGTTCTAGTTTTGTATTGTTAATTATTATGACTAATTACTCAATCTAAATATTTATGTAATTAAACTGTGTTCCACTCATTAGCAGCAAATGTAAACAGTGGTGTATGGAATTTATTATTATAACTCTTCAAATACTTAATTGCATATTTGGGCATCATGCCAATGATCTTTAAGTTATTATTAGGAAATATTTTATTTTCTAACAGATACAATACAAGTGTTGTTTCATCTATGAGATAAATATATCAGTGTGTTGTATTTATTTTTGTTACTTCACAGGAAATGGTCTCACATTATTTTTATTTATGGCATACAATCTTTGTTTCCTCTGTGACAGAAGAATTTTAAATATTTTTTAGAGGTAGCAGTATGGTGGTATTAAAAAAAAAGAATGTTAAAAAAATCAAAAGTTGCTTACATAAGTCAGTACTGAATTAATTAGATACCTAAATATATAATTTCAAATGCAAATTTTCTCAATATGCCAGTATTTACATTGAATATATATAGAATTTTTACTCTAAAACTTTCTGAAATGAAGTCGCCAGTTATCTGATTCTTTGTAAACAATCAAAACACCATTTTATCTCTTACACTTTATTGTTTCTAGTTATGAACTAAATTGAATACTAGCATTTTTCTTAAAACAATATATATGTAACATTTTCTAAATGAATTGAGAAAATTAAACCCAATTTTTTTATTCATAATTCCATAATTCTTGAGCTTTGTACTTTTCAGTGTCGCAGGGACACTATCAAGGTCCCGGAGATTTACCAATGCCTTCGTCCAAAGAGCAGACCATTATGTGGCAGCAAAACACTTACATGGCTGACTCTGGAATTCATTCTGGAGCTGCCACACAGGTACCATCTCTCTCTGGAAAGGAAGATGAAGAGATGGATCTGTTTGATTTAGATCAGGGGTACCAAGGATTCACCCAAGATCAAGTAGATGAAATGAATAACCAGCTCAACCAGACACGTTCACAGAGGGTTCGCGCTGCCATGTTTCCGGAGACACTCGAGGAAGGTAGGAAAACAGATTTTTTGATAATCAACTATTTACTGTATGTTTCAAATGTATTAGTTCCCTACTCTAAACATGAACTATAAAAAAAGGACGTGCCAAAAATTGTGAATAAGATAGAGATTACATCTTTACATATATGTTAATACCCTGTACCAAGTTGCTCTTTATTATATACAAGGTGCAGCAGAACCATTTAAGCAGTTTGAGGAGTTATAAAAAAAATTGGGGTATATAGAGAAAAAATGTTTTTATTTTCGAAGTTAGTAGTACATACCATTTTATATTCATTAAGTTTTGAAAATAATGCCCCCAAGATGGCAGACGTTAGCAGCAATATACTTTTGGAGACGATCTCTGAAGTTTTGAATAGCTCATTGACATATATCGTGATATATGGCATTCTCTTCTTCAATAATGTGCTCTCTTGGCTCTGGCAGGGTGTGAGGGTGACGTTTAAACACCTTTTTCTTTAGATATCCCCAAGAATGAAGTCACAAATGCTCAAATCTGATGACCTGCGCGGTCATCATCATCCCTTAAAGAGACGCAGAAACATTTCTCTCAACACATTAAGTGAATTTCAGGCTGTGTGAGCTGTAGTGCCAGCCTGTTAGAACCACAAGTCTTTCAATTCCTTTTCTTCAACAATCTCTTCCATTGTAAGCTGCAGAAAATTTTGCAACATTGAAACATATCCGGAATTCATGGTCGCGCCTTCCTCCTCAAAGAAGTATGCCTATCACGCCAAATTATGATACGTCACACCACACTGTTAGTTTAGGGCAGCGGTCGGCAACTGGCAGACCGCAGAAGGTAAAGAATTGGACCCCCAAAAATTCTTTGAAAGTATAATTACTCAGATTATTAAAAAAATATTTATTTCTACTGATAACAATACGTTTGAGTGCCACCCTTTTCATTTTTTCATGGTTAGTAGATTAGTAAAAAAACTGACTCAAGACCGCAAATGTTGACTGATTGAATGCAAATTAAAATAAAAAATTAGTAGGTAAGGAATGAGTTTTTTTCTGGACATCGTTAAAAATTTTCAAAAAAATCTGCACATCACCTAAAATTACTTGCCGACCCCTGGTTTAGGGGAATGTAGCGGCCTTTCTTGATTAAGTCAAGGGTAATTTTAGTTTATTCACAATCCCAGTAAGGTGAAAATGTGCCTCGTCGCTACTGAAGAAAGCTGCCTCCAGAGGGCTCTGTCCAAGCATCTACTCACACAAATTTTGGCGGATGACGTAATCTACTGGGATCAATTCTTAAACAATCATTATTTTGAAGGGATGGAATTCGAATCGATATAACAAATCTTCCTTAAACTGCGGTCTGAAATCCCCAATGCAACAGCATGCCTTCGAGCAGAACGTCTTGGCAATAACTCAACTGCTGCTCTCACAAGCTGCACATATTCTAGTATTCTGATGGATCTGCAGCTGCCATGTGTATCTCTTCTTAGTATGCTACCTGTTTCCTCCACCTGCTGAACCCAGGACCGAATTGTGTTTGCATTAAAAACGGTTTTGTTGCGTGAAATGTTGAACTGTCAGCAAAAAACTTTACATTGCAGTTACAGGTAGGTTGTTTTGAAAATACGCACGCATGGCAAAGTCCCAATGTGCTTCAGTCCAAATCATGTTGGGTTGGTTACTGAAATGGGGTCACCAACGGAACAAAGGGAGACCATGCGCAACTTTCTCCTCCCCACCACCTCTTGAGCAGTTATACCTTGAAACTACTTAGTCGGTTTTGCCGCACCCTGTATAAAAATATATGCTTTTCAAAGCTTTCTAAAGGCGTTGAAAAATATAATTATATGTAATTTCGATAAAGAAAATTTAATGAAAAGTGGTGTAAATAGAAATATATCTCCACTTTATGTTCTGTACAAATTTCCATCATAAGGCCAAGAGTTTTCTTAAAAAAATATACATTGAAATAAGGCGAGCTAAATTTGGAAAAGTCCTTTAAAATGAAATTTCAAATATCTAAACTTTCATTTAACAAGGTTATTGTTCTTAGTATTGTAAAGGCAAAATTCTCAATGTGAGCTTGAGAATATTTGTGCATGAAAAACTAGTTGTATATGTTCTCTTTGGAAAAACAAATGGAAAACTTTCTGAAAACATGAAATATCTCACGTTTCTTAATTTTATATCAATTATATCGTGTAGATTGAATACTTGGCAGAATATAAACTGGCAAATCCTTGGCATTTGTGTTTATCGTGCTTTATTTTAGTTTCATCATTAATAGTAATGGAATTATCACTTTTTTCAATAAGTGAAAAACTAATTTGTGTTTCTTTTTGGCAAAAAATCAGAGGACTGAAAAAAGGTCTAGTGCCTCATTAAAATTTTGATGTTTTAGAAAACTCATCATTAGGTACATAAAAAATAATATAAAATTTCCTTAGATTTTTAATATTATCCTTTAATATCTTCAAAACTAAATTTTGTATTTTCTTAAAACTATATAAAATAATTCAAGTAGTTGATACGACAAAGGTGGTTTAATTAGAACATCTGCTTTTCTTTAAGCGTTCAAACAGAGATAAATCTATTTGAAATTTACAGGGAAGTTAATTAAGTATGTCCACAAACTTAAGTTATATCAGAAGTTGGTAATCAGTGACCGAGATACTAGGAGTCATTGTCACTAAACTCTCATGAAGTTTAATGCCACTCATAGACCTTATAAACTACTGGACTCGCCCAACTGTTATTTCGCCTATATAAACGGCAATCGCTCAGACGTGTGCGAGAGAGATGAAGCTAGTAAGGGCTTAAGCTTCGTTCACAGAATTTCGACTGCAGCGCGCTACATTTAATTCAACCAATCAGCTAGCTATACTCGATTCCTTACCCCTTTTTTCTGTTAGGCCGTATTCAAAGACTTAATAAAAATAATATAGAAACCAAAAGACAAAAAAATTTCATTTTTTCCAGTAGTGTAGGTTTGTAAAAGTGTTTATTATATTACTGGCCTAATTACAGTACAATATTTGAATTGTTTTAGCTATAATATTCCAAATAGTTTTTATACTGCCTTATTTATGTATTTCTCCATTTATTTTCCTCATATCGTAAACTCGATCGGTTAAAATTACTGCAAGCTCTTCTGACATAGTTCTTTCAAATATTTCATATTTTCTTTTAAGAACTGTATAAATTGAAACTATGTCAATGCTTTCTTTGTTTAACATATTTGAAGAAAATTTTTGCTAAGTACATTTCAGTTAAAACTTTTTCGTTATATTTGGTTTGATGTTAAAAAATAATTTGAAGAGTAACACATTTAAAGCGGCAAAATTTGGACGTTAAAATTACATTTTATTTTGAGGATGGGGAAAATAATATAATCTAATAAGTTATCATCGGAGACAACTCTACTTGGTCATTATTTTCAGAAAGATGCGAAAAGTATAAACATGATGGTACCATCATAACGTCTTTCCTACCTATGAAATTTAATTTTTTCTCCACTTAAACGTCTCTTTACACAATTTATCGCAGAACACGATATTTAGTTTTTACGAATCTTTCACATACACTAACTAAATCACACAAAAATTCAAGAAATCAATAATGTCAATACATGACATTTACTTCAAAGTTTGTTTACGGCATTTGGTACCGGTATACCCATGTACCATCATTTGTTTTACCAGTATTTGCCTCAACTAGCTTCATCTGCCTTGCACACATCAGCACGATTGACCTCTCTTTCTAGGGCCAGTCCATAGTCTATGATGCCACTAGATATTTTGAAAATTTATGTCTCATTTTATTCGAAAAACAAACCATTTCCAATTTATAATTTTTTAAGCTTTCATTAATGTTACCAAGTACTTCATTAAACTTAAACACAACTCTAGAATTACTGGTTTCGCAAGAAAAGTTCATATGATTTTTTTTTCAAAATACATTATTTTTTTCAACACCTAACGAAAAGTCCAAGAAAATAATTAACAATCTTTTTCTAGGCCATACCCTTTGCCATCTCTACTAAAATGCAAAATTTATGCGCCATTGATTTCTCAGATTTGTCATCATTAGTTTATATTGAAATTTATATTTGTAGCATATTTATTTTGTCCTGTGAACTTTTATGGAGAAATATGTAACTATACAGCTGTTACATTCTGTGGAGTTTGTTAATGTCATTGAAAATTAGAAAAATAAGTTGAAAATGGTTCATTTTTTAATAAAATGAAAGATATCTTGGAAACACCACAAAAAATTATAATGATGGAATTTTCAAAATATTCAGTGGCATTGAATTTCTGGGGTTTTCAGTAAGGGCAACTACTGGTACCTCTACTGTTGGTATATACATTAGATATACAGTTCAAGAGGGTCCATCTAATTGTTGACATTGCCTACAGTTTCGTCCGCGGCCAAGGGGCTGCGCAATTGACGTCGTCAGATCTAAGAAAGCCTGTATTAAAAAGCAAATTGTTACTTAAACTGTTGTAATAAGGGTAAGAAAAGTATTATTTATAATAAAAAATAATAAATACGTAATTTGTTAGATTTGTGGGCGTCAATCGTAATGCCTCCTGGATCTTGAATGCCTACAAACATAAAAATTTGAGACTGCTTTAAGTCAATTTTTTTAATTCGTATTGTAGCTGATCGTTTAATTTTCAAGGTATTGAGATCCCTTCCACTCAATTTGACCCATCCCATCAAACCGCAGTCCAGCGTTTGGCAGAACCAAGCCAAATGCTCAAACATGCCGTAGTTAACCTCATTAACTACCAAGATGACGCCGATCTGGCAACAAGAGCCATACCCGAGTTAATAAAACTGTTAAATGACGAGGACCAAGTGGTAGTATCGCAAGCCGCGATGATGGTCCATCAGTTGTCGAAGAAAGAAGCATCTCGTCATGCTATCATGAACAGCCCTCAAATGGTCGCTGCTTTAGTTCGAGCCATTTCAAATTCAAACGATTTAGAAACTACCAAAGGTGCCGTCGGTACTTTGCATAAATTGTCACATCATAGACAAGGCTTATTGGCTATTTTTAAGAGTGGTGGCATCCCTGCTTTAGTCAAATTGCTTAGCTCTCCCGTTGAAAGCGTACTTTTCTACGCTATCACCACCTTGCACAACTTACTGCTCCATCAAGATGGATCAAAGATGGCTGTGAGGCTGGCCGGCGGACTCCAAAAGATGGTGGTTTTATTACAGAGAAATAATGTTAAATTTTTGGCCATTGTGACAGACTGCCTCCAAATCTTAGCCTATGGCAATCAAGAGAGTAAACTTATTATATTGGCTTCACAGGGACCTATCGAACTCGTAAGAATCATGAGGTCATACGACTATGAGAAACTTTTGTGGACAACATCTCGAGTTTTAAAGGTTAGTTTTTGATTTTACCACGTTATTAGGTGCGAAAGATGTTTATGACGTAAATGATCAATGACACATTAACTTGAGCAAGCGAAATACTCCTTTAGGACTGAAAAAGTGGTTAAATTCGTGTTTTTTTTTAAGTGGGAATACAAAATACAGAATTACTTAATTTTTTAGGTATTATCAGTTTGTCCAAGCAACAAACCAGCCATCGTCGAAGCAGGTGGAATGCAAGCCTTGGCTATGCATTTGGGAAATCCCAGCCAACGTCTCGTTCAAAATTGTCTCTGGACTCTTCGTAACTTGTCCGATGCCGCCACCAAAGTTGACGGACTAGAAAGTCTATTACAGTCACTCGTTCAAGTTAGTTATTCGTGCGACATATCGCGCCATAAATGTTACACTTGCTTATGTTGCAGGTTCTTGCTTCGTCAGACGTGAACGTCGTCACTTGCGCTGCCGGCATACTGTCCAACCTCACCTGCAACAACCAACGCAACAAAGTCACGGTTTGCCAGGTGGGAGGTGTGGATGCCCTGGTTCGCACCATCGTCAGTGCGGGAGATCGCGAAGAGATTACCGAACCCGCCGTATGCGCCCTCAGACATTTGACGTCCAGACACGTGGAGTCTGAAATGGCCCAGAATGCCGTAAGATTGAACTACGGCATTCAAGTTATAGTAAAATTGTTGAATCCACCATCACGTTGGCCACTGGTTAAAGCTGTCATTGGTCTGATAAGGAACTTGGCTTTATGTCCAGCTAATCATGCCCCCTTGAGGGAACACGGCGCTATACATCATCTGGTACAGTTGTTGATGAGGGCCTTCCAGGACACGCAAAGGGTAAGTTTTTTTTTCAGAAATTATTGTAAGTAGTAAAATCAAGCGCTTTAGGATTTAATATTTGTTAGTATGTTTGGGAAATACTTTTCTACTGTGTAGTGACAGAAAGTGACCAGTTTCTTCTCATAAACTTACAAACAGTAATGTTTCATACATCAGATATTATTAACTGTTACATTTATATACGAGGCATATCCACAAAGTAAGAGTATTGATACTTATGCTCTGTGGTTTTTGTTTTCGACAAAGTTGGCAACGCTGCATTCAAGGCCAAGGTGTTGGAAGCAGAATGCATTTGTCTCGGTTAGTTGAGAACTGTTGTAGTGGCATGTTGAAATGAGTTGTCACTATTCCGAATCCCGCCAGCTGTAAGGTGAGGACTGTAATCCAGTTTCTTCTTTCAAAGGGAAAGTTGATGTTCCAGATATTTAACAAAATTAAAACTATGGGGATGGTGTGATGAATCGTACTAATGTGTACAAGTGGTGTTGTGAGTATAAGGTTCATGATGAAAAAAAGGAGTGGGGGTCCCTCAATCGTGATCTCTTCTGCATGAAATTATTACTAAAACACTTGGTTATCTAACGGATCAACACAAAAGCCAACCGAATCGCATTTTCATGGGACTTTCTCGAGCGCTTCGAACTGGAAGGTGAACAATTTCCTGATTGTATTGTGACGGGCTACGAAACATGGGTGGCCCACTACAACCTTGAGACGAAACGATAATGCAGTGGCGACATCCATCCTCACCATCAGCGAAAAAATTGAAAACCGTTGTTTCGGTCCGAAAAATCATGGCAAATGTGTTTTGGGACCGTAAAGGGATTCTGTTTGAATTCATTCGGTTGGCATCACTACCCCACTCACAGCCTTGACCTGACACCTTCTGATTTACATCTCTTCTCGTCTCTGAATGGGTGAAAAAAGGTTTTCTACTGATGATGAAGTCCACAGTGCTATGAAACAATGAGTCCGATAAACGGCAAGAAATTTTTTTGGCGAAGGAATTGAGTACTCTGAATATGTCTCATATTTGTAGATGAGAGTCTAGAATCTCAATACCTATCCTATTCTTAGGTATTGTGTCCTCAAACTGTTATGTGTACCATTTGTGGGATGCAGAGCCATCTTTCTTGATTCATATATGTATTTTCACATCACACAGAAATAAATAACTTCATAAAGTTATACACTTGCATTACACAAGATACTTTTCCAAGAACTACTAAAAATTTTACTATAAAATTAAACTTAACAGAACACAAAACAATACTTCACGCAGAAAGAGGCGAAATTACTAAAATGAATGTAATAATATAATTACATATTAGGTCATTCTTGTTTCTTCCAATTAATGTTAGCTATTTGTTTTTTGCTCGTCTAATGCAGTATTTTCATATCGCACCTTGCAGATTGATATATATAGTTCACCTAAACTAGGTCAAGGTTATTGACACAGATTCATGAACTAAACACAGTGCTTTAAAAAAAATAGCGACAAAGTATAATTAAAATCTATTAAATTGGAACTGAGGCCACTGTTGTTTAATATCTTTCTAAATGATATTTATGGGTGCTTATGCAACTTGTTATTGTCTGCAAGTGGTTTAAACTAACAATAATCTATCAAATTGTTGTGATAGAAATGATATGGATATTAATCCCTCTGAATTTCATGCCTTATCTTCTTTACCATTTTAATAATATACATTGGATTCAGTTCAGCTCGTCAAAGTTTTAGGAGTTACCTTTGACTATCCTCTAACATTTATTTCTCATTTCTGTAGTATAATTACATTAAAAGTATTAGGTTTTATTAAAAACATCTTAATTTTCGTTGATACCCTCTAATCTAGTCTAAACTTCCTCAGTTTCTTTGTATCTTGCACTTTCTCCCCAGTAATATAAAGATTTAAAGTATCAATTTTTACAGTACCTTGTTCCTGCTTGCTTTTCAAAATTGAATTTCATTTTCCTCTTAGGACTATCAGAAGAGACAGTGCTTTTTATGTCTTTACTAGAAAGGTCGGCAAACTCGGCTAGTGCAGAGTTGACCTTTCTCTTGGGCCCTCGGCCCGTTGGGCCGGGCTGCGTGTGGCTTGAGCACCACTGCATGATGCTTTCCTTGCTGGTTGGCAAATATAACATGTTTTGGAACACTGTTTATAAAAGTCGTCAACATCGTAACTTCATAATTATCTCTGGACCAAAATTCAACGCAATATTTTTAGACATCCTGTATATAGAAACCTATTTGAATAGTTATATTTTTTTCTTATGAAAAGATTTAAAAAGAGAACTCCATAATGAAAGTAAAATACGGTAAAAGTAAAAAAAAAATTCTTAGGGATCCCATGCGAGATTCGAACCATCGACCTCCGGGTTGCAACGCGACACTTACCACTCAGCCATCATTGCCTCTATAGTAATATCATATTCGATGCGCGAAGTAATTAGTCATTGCCCGTCAAGGGATCCAGTGCAATACGCTTTTAAGGGGTTTAGAAATTGAATAATTTCTTCATTCATTATGAAGGGACGAAGGGATTAGTTCACGTCTGACACCCTTAATCCTACAAAAATTCCTTTATTCTCGTAAACTATTTATTTTAAATGTAATTTATTATAAATCCAATTTGTTTTATAAATTCCACATATTAAGTACTACATTTTACCTCTGTACGTGCTACTGTTGTTTACTTGTTTTTTGGAGGCGGTCTCTGATTTACGACCAAGCTCGCCAGGTTAGTCTTTGACGTATAACCGACCACTTCGTACACTGGATACACCTGGGCCACTACAGCTACCATCAGAATACAGTGCGTATGTAGCGGTATTTCAGATTTTACATTCAATTTCATTTTAAATTTGAAATGGTTCATCTTTCGCCTCCTAAAAATGGTGACACGATTTTCCTTTGACCGACAACTTTTTGCTCTACTTTGCATCGAATACGATCCTACTACAGACAGAGTTTGTCCGTATTGTTATTTGAATTCCTATTCATAGCCGAAGTAAACAAAAATTTTCGAAATATTAAAAATTAAACGAAAATATTGGGGTTTCGCGAGAGAAATGCAAGGTGCAGAACCTTTTTAAAAAGCAAATTTTGGCGTTAAAAAGTAAAAAATACCCTTCGAAAACTTCCTGTGGCGACGAAGAAAGGACGAAAGTCGCGCATAAAAGTTGAGCAAAGTTGAGTATTTTAAATCGACCCTCAAAACGTCCATTGGTGGGCGTTCCCGTCAGATTCTGTCTCTCTTCCACACAGAAAAATTTGCCGTTTTCGCCGAGGAGTCCCGGGAAAATGAAAATTTACCTAGGAAAACATGGAAAACCCACCGAAATGCTATTGCAACATAAAAGAAGGACGTCTGGGCGCATCGCGGCTCGCAAAAAAAGCCGATATTGTAAAATGGCCACTTTTTGAGATCCGTGCGGGAGTGAAAACCACCTGCAGCAATTAATATATTGGAATATATCAGTTGTTCTTATGTAATCTATTCANTTTAACCTACATATTCATAATCTACGTACATTTATGAGTTGATTCCATTTTGTTAGAGATAAATCGGTGAACTCTACGAAATTTTATAACCATTTAAACACAACTATTAGTTCTGTCCCTACGCACGAGCAAGATGTTGCTCGAGCAGCGGTCGCCTTTGTAATGATTTAAAAAGCAGGTATAGGGAATTTGACCCTCATAGTAATGGATTCTGAGACTTGGGATATTACTCTAGCCAATCCAACAGTAAAAATTACCGAATTAAAAACTTTATTTTTTGACTCTTGGCCAGCTTTTTGGGATTCTGCCCCACTGTGGGCCGCGGAGAACGTCGCAATCGGAAAATTAAGTTTTGACAGTTCAGACGTTTCTACCGCAGTGACAGTTTGTATCAAAATATTCTTAATCTCGTTTTAAATTCTGTTACATTTGGACCTAATAAAAGTTGAGGGCGATATAGAAGAGAGAGAACGTTGCGACGCGGTATCGGAAAAGCGTCCCGGTAGCGGAAGGAGCACGTCGCCGGGTCGCGGGAGCTGGTCGTACACAAAGAGAAAAGTTCTGGCTCCATCTCGGAACAGAGCGCTGGTGCTGGCCGTACCCAAAAAGGCAAATATGACACCGCGAAAATAGCATTTTGGGCGAAATAATCCCGAGTTAACGAAAATAGTGGGATTTCGCGAGAGAGAAATGCAAGGTGCAGAACCTTTTTAAAAAGCAAATTTCGGCTTTAAAAAGTAAAAAATACCCTTCGTAAACTTCCTATGGCAACGAAGAAGAAAACGTGGAAAAACCTCGACCGAAATGCTCCTGCAACATAAAAGAAGGACGTCGGGGCGCATCGCGGTTCGCGAAAAAAGCCTTTGATATTGTAAAATGGCCACTTTTCGAGATCGTGCGGGAGTGAAAACCACCTGCAGCAATTAATATATTGGAATATATCAGTTGTTCTTATGTAATCTATTCATTTTTCAATTGGTTTATTATTTTATTGTATTCTGTTATTTTATAATTATTTTATTAAACTCGTCTTCTTTAGCTTTTGCCATCACTTATTGATTGATTGATTGATTGATTGTAAAATTAAATAAAAAATGTATATTTAGCGAACTAGTGTGACTAGCGGTGGAAGCCAACAGCCGGGAACATACGCAGACGGAGTCCGTATGGAGGAAATAGTAGAAGGAACGGTAGGGGCGTTACACATCCTGGCAAGAGAATCCCACAACAGAGCAATAATCAGGCAGCAAATGGTGATCCCGATATTCGTGCAGTTGCTGTTCAACGACATAGAAAACATACAACGTGTAGCGGCCGGGGTGCTTTGTGAACTCGCCGCCGATAAGGAAGGCGCCGAGATGATAGAACAGGAAGGGGCTACGGCGCCTCTCACCGAGCTTTTGCATTCAAGGAATGAGGGTGAGTCATTGTTACACTTCCAAGTGTTTCATGTCGTGGAATATTTTTGTTTATTCGTTCAGGTGTGGCTACGTATGCAGCCGCAGTACTTTTTAGAATGAGCGAGGACAAGCCCCAAGATTACAAAAAGCGGCTATCCATGGAGCTGACCAATTCGTTGTTCCGAGAAGAGAACCTCTGGAACCCCGACCTGGGGATGGGGGCTGATCTACAGGTACGAATCCGTTATTAAAGGCATTAATTAAAATCTTACTATAATCGCGTGATAAAACTTGCAAAATTTTAAAAGTTCAATATTTTCTAAAATAATTTTTCATTTGTCTCGACCTGTATCACTTGAAGGTAAGTATCTACGATTTAATTTCTGTCAATGTTGCCTTGGATTTTCTTAATTTAGCCTCATTTAGCGATATTTAGACTATTACGATTTTTTCTGTTTGTTCTTTTATTTTGTTTGCACCTTTTCGTTGATCATTTTTAGGATATTTTGAGTCCCGATCAGGCCTACGATAATATGTATACCCAGGGACCCCCTAGCGTGCACAGCAGCCACGGCGGAAGACCTTACCAGCAGCAAGGTAAGACTCGACACTGGACGTTGTTTGCTAACACTTAACCACGAATTAATATGCGCACACTTAGGGAAGGGTTAGATACACATTTTGTTACAGTAATTAAATTTTTATGCCAAATTTCGTCGTATCTATTATAGCTTTAACCTTCACTATGCATAATTCATTCTTAAAAAATAAAAAAAATTAATAACTCGGGTCCTGTTTTCACCGTAAAATGCATTTTAAAATGCTACGCAGGGTGTCCCGATTTATAGGTGTACAGGCCATTTACTAAGTAAATAAAAAGAATGAAGGTCAAATATACAGGATATAGCAAAAGTACCGGAATGGCAGTATAACTTGTTGAGAGCATTTTGGAGAAAAATGTTAAATACAAAAGTTTCAGGATTTCTCCCTAGCTATCCGATGGTGACCTTAACATTGACCTTGACCTTAAAGATCATTTCAAGGTCAAATGTGATTTTTCAAATGGGACCCTATACTTTTGACCCCAGAAATTAAAAGAGCGGAAAATTTTACATTCAGATATGACCTTGAGTGACCCCTCCCTTTTGACCTTGGGGCCCCCACAAAGTCAAACTAACAAAAGTACCGGAACGGCAGAATAACTCGGTGGAAGAACATTTTAGAGATGAATGTTAAATACAAGAGTTTCAGGATTTCTCCCTGGCTATCCTTGGAAGATCATTTCAAGATCAAACGTGATTTTTCAAATGAAAGAAATTCTGAAAGTCTTGTATTTAACATTTTTCTCTAAAATGCTCTCCTGCCGAGTTATTCTGCCGTTCCGGTACGTTTGCTATACCTGGTATATTTTTTTAAGTCGATCATACAAATGCACATATTTAAGAATTATAACTTGCTAAATTACTATAATTTTTATAGTTGATTTTAAAAATATTTTGTTTGTCATTTTTTCACAAATGTAATACATTCTGTGAAAAAAGTATCTGGAATTTGTCAATAGAAGACAATTATCCGACCTATTGTGGATAATGGAAAAAGTCAGATAATCCGGGTTCATTTATTTTTAATATTATTTTTTTAAATAAAACAGCAGGAATCGGGCATAGGTTGTCAAATGTCAAATAATACGGATGAACGTCTATTAACATGGAATCGCCGTTTCGGCTACGATGTCGGAAAATCGGGAAGACGGATAAAGCGAGGTCGGATAACCGAGGTTCTACTGTAATGTACTTATTCCAATGAACAACCCAGTCTTCAAAATACTTTTGAAACGCATATTCCAGTATGGTCTTCAAAACTCCTTCAGCTACTCAAAACGTGTTCTACAAAGTGATAATTTGAGTTTGGGAAAGAGGAAAAGTCAACAGGGGCCATATATGACAAATACGGTGGCTGCTTGATTACATTCGTTGAGTTTTTGGCCAAAAATTCGTTCATTGTGCATTACTGTGGTACAAAATCCAAGAATTGTCCTTCCATAAATCTGGTCTTTCGTGGCAGATACTCTCTGAAACGCCTTTTTCAGAAGAATGAGTCAACATAACTTTGATTTTTGAATTACTTTGTCGTGGTTTTTTTTGGTTGGGGTTTATTAGAAAAGCTCCATTCCCGAACTTGTTGGCTCGTTTGCATGTCAAACTCGTAAACCTAAACCCATGTCTTGTCACCCCTTATAATGTGTTGCATGAATGTAAAGTCCGAATTAGCTCTTTCAAGCACGTCTTTGGCAACATGTCTGCGATGCTCTTTTTGGTGTGAACTGATTTGTGGACATATTTTCTTTCATATGTCAGCTCTTTCAAACAATAACGATGGTTTGCAAGCACCATTTCCCTCACTATTGATGTTTTCTTCAGTTTAAGATGCTGAAGGACAACCAGAATGTGAGAAATCGTCAACCACTTCTCGGCCATGTTTAAATGCTTTGTACTATTCGATGAAACCAAATTATTGTACGTCTTTCCCAACATTTTCAACTATTCAGTACAAGAGATTCCTTTGATAGCACAAACTTTTAGGGGGACTAACAAAATTAACAGCAGTAAACTCTTCAGATCACGCTCATACTTCGTGTCGGAGTAAAATACAGTTATACCAACTTTCCATCAAAAACGAAGTTTAAATCTACTTTATGCGAAATTTTTAAATGACAAATTCCAGATACTATTTTTGACAGAATTTTTCAATTTTATAAGTGTGCTAATTTAAAAATCTAATAATTTCCAATTTCTTACCTCAATTTTCACTAATTAATGTGGGGAAGCAGTATTTACCTTTTAGACAAAGCTGTAGAATACCATGTTATAGTATTCAAATTCCTCATAGACTCGGGCGGATCTGTCGAAATATCCCACTTCTTGGATGCAAATAGGAACATGCTAATTTTTGCTGGAATACCTTCAGTAAAATTCACATAATAAAAGTGTAAATCCCTAGATCTGGGCGAGGTACGGAACATTTTCAAAATTGCAAAAATGTTTAAAAAAATTTTTTTACTTATATCTTGGATCCTATGCATTCTGGAAGAAAAAAAAAGAGGAAAAAAGTTTTAGAATTGAAATTTGCACAATATACTGTAACTTAAAAATGTTTAAATTTATTGCCGATGTTGCAAAATAGCAATAATTGATGAAATAAGGCAATTTTTTTTTTAAATGTTTTAATTGATCTGAGGGCATTCTAATTTTGGTAAAAAAAAACTTTTATAGTATAAAACAACACACCAAATTTCATTAAAATCTGTTCAATAGTTTTCACAAAATAAATTTTTGAAAAAATTAAAAAAAAATTTTTTTGGATTTTAAAAAGTTTGCACAGCCTCAAATAAGGCATATAGATGCTTGAACATTTTTTCACATAGAAAAGACCGCTCAACCTTTCAAATGGTTTTTGAAAATTTGAAATCGGTTCATTAGGATGTCCACAGTAAATGTTTAAAGTTAACACTATTTTTTCAATTTTTAAATTATAATTTTTGAAAAAACTAAATTGTAAATTGATAAATGTAATCTAATTGTTTAATAATAAAAAATAGGTGTTAACTTTAAAAATTTACTGTGGCCATCCTAATTCAATTTTTCAAAAACCATTTGAAAGGTTTAGCAGTCTTTTCTATGTGAAAACATTTTCAAGTATCTAGATGCTTTATTTGATGCTGTACAAAATTTTTAAAATTCGAAAAAATTATTTTGTGAAAACTATCGAACCGATTTTAATGAAATTGATTTGTTGTTTTATCACACTAAAGCTTTTTTTTCCAAAATTAGAATGCCCTCGGAGCAATATTTTTAAAAAATTGAGGGTTGCTTTCGCTGTACAGCAAGAAATAAACGCTCTCTCAACGGTAATAATAAATAATTTTATTGAAAACTAGTGTACAGAAAACTTGTGTATGGAAAGACGTGCTAACGGGGTGAGTGTTCGTTGGAGAGTAGTTGGAGAGTGCCTTGTGGTTGAAGTCGGTCGTATATCGGGTACGCGTCTGGTGGCCGGCACCAGCAGCCCTTCTTGGAACGCTGGTTCGTCCGGCGGCATCCTGCGGCGCTCTTGACGTTGTGCTTTCAAATATGGGTCACTTGCAAACATGTGTACCCACAAAATTATCCAAAAAACTTAATTTTTTTGCCTTTTTTCATCGATTATTGTTATTTTGCAACAACGGCAATAAATAACATTTTTAACTTGCAGTATATTGTGCAAAATTCAATTCTAAAACTTTTTTCCTCTTCAATATTCTTCCAAAATGCATAGGTTCCAAGATATAAGTAAAAAACTCGGATAAAATAGGTATTTTTTTGAAATTTTTTAAACATTTTTACAATTTTGAAAATGTTCCGGACCTCGCCCAGATCTAGAGATCTACGCTTTTATTATGTGAGTTGTACTGAAGGTAATCCAGAAAGCTTGTTGCAAATCCAGCTTGTCCCCTCTCACATCCACCTCAAAACAGATCCGCTCTGATCTATCAGTGTTGTTAACACTGTGGATACACATATCCTTAGAAATCTGTAGCACAAATTCTTGGAAGTTGTTCGTTTTCCTCTTTCTGAAGTTGGTGTTTAAATGTTTTACAGATTGGAATTAATAATAAATACCATTGGTCTTATTAAAGTCCCTGGATTATTAGCTACATCTTATCAAATTGCCTCTATTTGTGCGCATGAATCGATTTTTCAAATCCTTATAACTACACGATTGATGACTTGGCCCATTACAAAATCATTTGGCTGATGTTTAGAATCTAGGACAGTCGTTGAATTAAATTAACAAAGACAAATTTTTAAAAAAATCTTGATCTACAAATAAATCCGTAGGGTTAACAACACTCAAAAATTGCACTTAACAAAAATCATAGCAGGCTTAAGATTTACAATTTCCAGAAAGTTACAGTTTACAAATATGAGTTTGATCTTCATTTATGACTACGTTAATGACCTGCAAAATTATAAATCTTGACACTTTGTATGTTGACGTTGCAAAAAAATTCAGTTTTTTTGTATATTTAAGGATAATTACTTACACTGGTATTCTTTTACTCCTTAGATGGATTTCAGGATTATTCCCTCTAACATCTAACATATTAAGGTGAAATTGTACGTAGCATGTTTGTGTGTGATTGTGGTAGGTTTAGAAGCATGACGTTTGTTTTTAATTTTTTGTAAACCATTTTTTTGAGAAATTTCGAGGTTTTCACCGAATTTGGGTAAGCTAACCGATAATACTAACATTCTGCTTAAAGAATAAGTTTTTAGGTTGAAAAATGCTGGCTATTAACACATTAATATATTTCTTAAACATCCTGTCACAAAATTTAGGTCATGTTTTAAAATTTTCGTCCACTATAAAAAACTCAGGATGTTTTCTAAATCTGACACAATTGAGGAGGTTGTTCTTCATTCATTTTTTATTAAAAAGTGTTAATTAGGTATTGTGAGAATTTTTAAGCAAAAATATCTAATACAGATTTTTCAGATACAATGCCACACGATTGTATCCCGAGTACGAAAACTTTATTTGTGAATTTGCAAAAAAATTCTTCATAAAATTTGCAATAGCTCCAATATCAAATATATTCGTAGGTACGAGGGTCATTCAAATATGAACCAGATTTTTTTTACTTTATTGGTAACAGATACAATTAAGACAATAATACATTATTTTTCTACATAGTTTCCATGAGTTTTCCACAGGTGAGGGCTGCTGTATGTGGTCGAGCATTATCGTGAAGAAGAATGTCGCGAATGGGTTGGTGACATCGTTTCTGGCGATAGGTGGCATTCACCTCATCAAGTAGGTGACAGTAGTATGCCGCATTCACGGTCCTTCAATCGTACAGAAAATCGATCAGCAACACACCCTTGGCATCTCAAAACACGGTCGTCAGAACTTTCCTTACCGACAAACCAGATTTGGCTTTGATCGGAGGTCTCTCTCCACTTTTCCTCCATTCCTTGCTCACCCTTCTGCTTTCTAGGGTGTAGTGATGCACCCATGTCTCGTCCACGGTCACAGTGCGGTTTAAAAATGGCTCCCCCTTTTTCTTCATATCGAGTTAGAAGCCTTTGACAGATCTCTTTCCGGGCATTTCTGTGTTGCTCCATAAGGAGATGTGAGACCCACCTCACGGACAATTTACGCAACCCAAGCTATTCAGCAAGAATTGTGTGGATGCTCTCAACACTTATGCCTATCTTTGCTGCAATGTCGTCCACAGTTAGGCGTCGGTTAGCTTCCACGAGGTTGGTAACGGCCTGACTGTTGGTGTCACTGACACTCGATCGAGGTCGACGGCTGTGGCTTTCATTCTCTACTCTTTCTCGGCCACTTCGAAATTTTGTGGCCCAGTCAAATACCTGGGTTCATGATAGTGTGTCATCCCAAACTGTTTTTTAAGTCTCGTGAAAATCTCAGTCGATTTAACACCCTCATTCACGATTAATTGAATAATAATTCGTTGCACAACAAACGTAGGAACGTCTTGCTCACTCATGGTGCTACTGATGATGATAACTGATCGGCGAGGGATGACTTCTACGCGTACCGACCTCTTCCCTATAACAACTACCTAACCATTCCTGGAACCGCAGCCTGTTTACTGCTCAAACAGGGTGGATAAACAAAAAAATTCGGTTCATATTTGAATGACCCTGGTTTTTATATAAATATCTCAAATTGAAGTTGTTTTTTTTTTCTAAAATAAAAAAGAAATGGCCTGAACATATGACAGAATTAGAAGACACTCTGTATAAGAGTTAAATATCAAACGTGTGCTAGTTGAATATCTGCAATTTACTTTTTTCTGGCTAATTTTATGTACAGGGTGATCGTTTTAAATTAACTAATTTGAAGGATCCATAGAATTTTGAAAAATCATGCTTCATTTTAAGATACAACGGCTAAAAAATTACTATAACTAAAAGAGTTGTGGTATTGCAGGGTATGACCAGATACCAATAGATATGCAAGGTCTAGAGATCGGCTCGCACGGCGGTGGGGGCAACGGGTCCACGTACAGTGCCCTTGACGCCATGGATGTGACCGGCGCCGATCCCGATCTCAACTTTGACACTATCGATCAGCTCCCCACCCCTCCCCAAGACAACAATCAAGTTGCCGCATGGTACGACACTGACTTGTAAATCATAAACCGTTTCACTTTTCATCCCAACTTTGGAGAAAACATTGTCGACGACATACAAATGTATATTCATGTATTCACAACTTTCGATCAAAAAGGGTATTTATGTAATTGGAACATTGCAGTTTTATTAGTTTCGGTTGCGGGAGAGGGACGTTTTATGCCCATGATATATTTGTTAGGTCGAGTAAAAAAGTGAAATAATTTTGTGATTTACAATTTAGACATTAAGTTAAAAAATTGTCTAGCTATAAGACTTTATTGTGTTAGTTTTTTTATAAATATATACTATATATGTATTTAATCTTTTTCGCAGCTATTTAACTGTTTTAAAAGTTTTATGTAGAAAGTGGCATTTGATTTCTATTATTTTGGCTCGGTATAATTTTCGGCTAGTAAATTTGGATATCAAATGTAGTCTTTTGCGTTTCACCTTTAATATTAGTTTTTATAGCCTCGATTCATAATTTTTTTTAATGGAAAAGATTACTTATGTTTAAGTAATAAGTCAGTATTTATCATATTATTATTATATACAAATAGTGATAGGATGTTTTTGTTATTCTTATTATTTAAATGATAATTTTACTGTTGTCTCTGTCGCACAATTTTTTTTATTGATTTTTTTGTTTCATATTTAAAATATTACAGGAACATCTTTTCTTGAACAGGGTAGATTGTTAATTACAGGGGCACTGCCTATCTGAACAATGATTATGCATGAAATTTATAGCTGACCATTAAATTTCTAACTGTAAAAAAACATTTGTTTTGTTTCCTGTCCTTTATCACTTGTAGTTTAAAGGTAAGTTATTTTTTCTTTAAGGGGGAAAAGCCACGTTAGGAGTCTGACTTGCAGGCGTTTCTCATGAATTTTTTTGAGTGGGACAGATTGATTAGAATTTGATTAAACTTTGACATAATTTTCACTTGTGTTGAAAATGCCAAAGTTATGGGCTGTTATCTACTGAAGGTCGTCTGAGTTGGCTGTTCACGGGAAATGTGGATGTCGCAATTTTGATCTGAAAGCAAAATGGTAGTTTTCCTGCATTATTAATAGTCCGGGTGAATTACGTTTTTTTTTTAAATCAGGCCTAACTCATATTTTATGGGCTTAAAATTAAGTAATAAATGCACAGAATAAATGCCTAAATTTGTGTATTTGTAGAGGTCGAGCGTCATATTGTTTATAACAAAAGAAAAAAAATAATTGCTCTTTTTTCGGTTTTTCGCTCCAAAAGTAAGCCTCTAATCGATATGAGGTATACTTATCGATTTTGTTCCTGAGGAAATTTGCTACAAGGATAGGCTTTTGCGAAAGCTCGCACATTTTTTTTGTACATTGCAGAATTAGCGATGAAGAAAAAAATGTGCAAAATTTTCAACATTAAATAAAAAGAACGAATTTGACTGAAACTGCAGGGAAAGATAACTGTTGCGATCGAAAGGTAATTACATTGTCTCGCATTTGCATAAATTTCAGATTTTGGAGTTGCAAAATAAAAAAATTATTAACAAAAAAAAAAAAAGAACGGTAACTAGGTTGCTTATCTCGGCGGTTTTTTAATATACAGATTTCAAACCAATAGCTGAATATACACGAGCAGTTTTATCAACCGATTTGGCCGATTTATCGTTGAATTGTAGACAAATTAATCTGCTAGTTTGGGTAATCAAGAAAAATTGAAAAATACCAATATTTTGGCGGTTAAATTGCTGCCAAATTATTTGAAGCGATTATTTTGTCACGTACACTAACAGTGATTAAACGGCTGATAAATCTGTTGTGAATTATCGGGCGATATTTTGTAGAGCATCATCTGCGTGTTAGTACATGTTGGAAGAAATATCTGCGTGATATGTAAAGTCGGTTAATTTCTGTATCGAGTTCAGAACATACAATTTCAAATATGGCATCAAAAGAATTTATTAGTAGACTGATCGATTTATACCGTAATCACCCGTGTTTATGGAGAACAACCTCATAAAAATATTAAAAATGAGAGTTAAAAAGAATTAGTGGCGTATGGTATTCTTTCCTCAATAACCATGTTTTAACCCACTTTGTTCACTTTTTATTTCTTCTGCGTCGTTATCACATAACCCATCATTCCAAGTAATAAAACAAGTTTAAAGTCGTTTTTGTTCATGTTCGTAGCAAACTATACTTACGAGTAACAAATAAATTGCTCTGATTTTTTGGACTTCCGAAAGATCAAAGATGACATGATGATAAATCTTTGTGAATGACGGAGACGTAACAAATGAACAGTCAGATAAACTTTGTACCATAATTCGATTCAATAAAACTTTGCATTAGTCTCCTCTCTAAAATTTGTTTGAAAGATTTTTCTTAACGATTTATCTGACGATTATTTGGTACAATTTATCGCTCCAATAAGTCTGCGTGCGTATTCATCAAATAGTGCTTAAAAAAACATGAACTTAAAAAAAGCATCTAGATGTTACCAATAGGAGTCGAGATATTTTTTTCTTAAAAACGGTATTCTGGCCGTTCTATTTATTATTCTGTAATAAACTTGGGTTTGTAAAGTAGAGAAGACTATATGCTGAATTTTTTTTTAATGGATTCGACCAAGTAAACGTGCTCCTTGGGAGACCCTATTTGGAACCCAAGGAACGGAGAAGTGTCAGCAAGGAAGCTTTTGGACTTTGTAAAAAGCACAAATCTACTTGCTGAATAGGACTGGTAGTGGGACGCACAATAGGCCTAATTAGGCCGCAGTGCTATGGGACTTTTCAAGGACCAACCACTAGATGAAGATGAAGATGAAGTAAACGTGCATTAAAGACAGTGATCCGTGCGGTGGCCCATGCGGCTAAGCGGCAGCCAGGAGAAGGGAGCACTGTGACGTCAGAGTGCCCATGCTGCGCTCGGCTTCTCAAAATTCTTACTTAAATGGATTGTGGTACTTAGGGAACAGATACCGGGATGCTTTTTTTTTTAAATCAACTTATTTTTTTCCGCTCTTTCGAATGGTGTAAGCAAAAGTCTGTGAAAGTCATCGCCAGACCCCGAAAAATACATTTTTATTGACTTTTCACATTTTCTTTTGTAATTTCATTATGCTTTGGATATTTTGAAAAGTAAGATCTAAGGAGGTCTATTTACATATTTAAAAACAAAAGTCAATTATTTCTTTGAAAAAAAATGATATTCTATTTACCGTGCTCAGAAGAGATCGACATATTGTGTTAAAATTAACTGTTACAGTTATCGAGTTTGGGAAATAGGAAGAAGTCACAGGCATCATGTCTGGAGAATAGGGTAGTTGTGGCATCACAACAGTGTGGTTTGCCAGGAATGGTTGGATAGGCAAAGTGGTATGTGCTGGTGTGTTGTGGTGAAAAATCCACGAGTTGTGTTTTATCTAAAAATTGATTTTTTTCTAAATTCTAGTCGCTTTATCCCTTAAATCTGAACATGTATTTTATTGAATACACACAAAGGTAAGTACAATAGGTAAAAAAATATTTAACCATGAGATTGCTTTCAGACTTGTGATTTAACAATAGACTGCTATTTGCTTTATTTGAAGTTTACATTCGGCTGGTTTATCTGCTTTTCCACCAGCAATCGAGTACAATAACATGATCTAGTTCTCTATAACGGAAATATAAGACAAACGTTGCAATAAGTAATTTTGTGACGGCAAAGGATATATTTTTGACATCAGTACATTTCTATAAATTTATTAGAAAATTAGATACCAATCCTTAGAAAATAGGCGCTAGCTTGAAAAAAAAAGTAGACGGATTAGATTTATCATTTTTAGTTTTTATTTTGGATAATTATTTATTACTAGGTATTATCATGGTATAATTTAATGCTAGTTGCATAGAGTAGTTGTTTCCTGCAATACCAGCAGTTACAAATCTTGTCTGTAGGGTTAAATATCTTGCATAGCTGGATTTCTGATATCGAAGGAAATTGTTCGATTTATTATTTTTTTTAATTTGAATTAGCTTAATATTTTTAAAATACCGAAAAACTAAATAATTTAAGTGAAAATAAAATGTTACTACTAGTTCAATCTAGGTCGGTCCAGAAAAATGCATACTATCACTATCCCGTTACCTGCTCACATCACAGATGATTTGCTTCATGCTAATAATAAAGGTTTATGTACTTCGTTAATATTGCTTAATTCAGGGCTTTCAATATGTTAGACCATGAAATTTTATTTAAACAATTACAATACTTGTGTGTTACTATGTACTACATACAATGTGTTATTGTAGCCAACAAAATGTTGAAGGTCCGTGTATCCGTGTAATTGAACAAGGTGTATACTTGGTCCAATATTACTTTCTGTGTACATGACAGACATTTACAAATAGATATTGTAGTATTCATTAATAGGCTGATGACGCACATTACCGTTAGAACAAAGTACTGATGGTAAATTTGGTAATTTTTAAATTTTAAAAATTATCCATTGAAAACGTTTTTTATTGTGCTTAAGTACTGTCTTACGTCTTCGTAGGACAATATTTCAATGGTTTTCATTTCTAAACTAAATTGGTTTTCCACCGCGGTATTTAGGCCTTATTAGGCCCCTTATACAACCCCCTTCATTACTTGAGTACTTTTCTTCAAACCATCCTATTACTACACGGATGAATTGGTGGCAAAGTCTCGTCCAGTTTTTTTAAGTATGATAGCATGGTCTTGAGTTACAGAGATTTATTGCTCTATACTCATTACCATTTTTATCGGTGACCACACGCCGGCGAAAGGTGTTGAGAACCTGCCTTAGGTCACTCATCCAAGTTCCAGCCTGCGTCCGTGATGCTTACCTCGGACGATCGAAATCCATCGGCCAAGACACCTGGCTAGGCGGTCCCCTGATGACATAAGTATTAGCATACCAAATTTTTGTTTAAATTGAACTGTTTGTAAAAAAAACAAAATGTATTGCCAGCTTTGATACCATTGGTTATATAAACACATATAACAAGGTTGAGACCTAGCAGTTAAACAAAGCAACTTTGTGTATTTTTTTACAAATCACCCTGTCTCATTTATAACAGGATAGAATCAATATTAAAATTGAATTTGAGTTATTTCACGAGCCTTCAACTGTACTAACAACAGTGAAACACTGGCTATTTGTCATTGTGTCAGCCAAATTCATTAATGGAAAATGTCCTCCCATCAAATTATAAATCCCTCTCCTTCATATATTTGGAATTAAGAGAAAGGAGAAACATTCCGATGGATCCATCGTTTAATTTAAAAAACAACCAATAATAATATTCATATATACTTTTTCAATCTCGCGCAGCTCTGCTCGAGTCAGAAGCGCACTTATTTGTGTTGATCTGTACATTAAATTACAGTTAAAAAATTTGATTCTTGTATATTTGAAAACCACATGATAACCTAAGAGAAAAAAAAATCGTTTTATAGAAGTCATTCCTTTAAATAGAAGTAATCTTGCTACAATTTGTCTACCTTGTTGGAAATAGTGACGTGTTTAAATTTATTTTGGAATATCTCCACACAATGGCTAAGGGACAATAATAAATCGTGTTTTATTTCAACGTTTTATTGTAAAATGACAAAGAATAACTCTAAAACTTTTCAGAATCAATATATATATAATATGTTTGATATAGATATAATTGTATTTGAATACTTGATATAGATGTTAACTGAATATATATATATTTCATCTTACAGATATAATAAATCATTCCCTTCTAACTTAACAGTACCAACAGAACTGGCCGTTCTTTAATGTAATACTGATCTTGGCACCCATATTTGTCGAGGGAATCCAATTTGCAAATTAGATACAAGGGTAATTTTTCATTGTGGCAAAACGAAAATTATCGGTGGGTATACATCCAGTTTTACCACTTTAACAATGACCGAACTATAGACATACACAAAACTGTACATGGTTTGAATTATAGCAAAATATTCGATATTTTAATATAAAAATTGTAGATCACTGTAAAAATGCTCAAGAATTTGAAGTGATGTTTTAGGCACACCTTTTGTCTCTATAAGGAGGGAAAGGTAAGAAAATGCTTTCATATTCATTCAAATTTGTGCATTTTTATAGTCTTGTTTTAATCTAAAAGTTATAGATTGTGTTGCAAAAGTGCTCAAAATTTAAAGTGGCATTTTTGACAAACTTTATGTCTGCATTAAAGGATAGAAAGAGCATTAGCATTACTTTTATTCAAATTTATGGATTTTTGCACAATCTTTACGATTTCAAGAGATTTTGAAATTATTTGTATGTAGTTCTTAAGAAACAATTTGCTAACATATTGATCTCCTGATTTTAAATTATTATCTTCATGGTCAGAATGAACAAAGTTTAGTTATTACCTTTTCTTATTTTGAATATATTAATCAGGTACATTGAGAGTGAAATTCCATGTTATCCTTTAGTTAGCAAAATTACAATGCACTGAAATTATTAATTAGGGATACCCATGGAACTTACGTTTCAATAAACCCTGTTCACTCTAAAAATGTTTTTACCTATGAAACCATCAAAATAATAACTCATTTTTTTTATCTTCATAAAAGACTAACTGTCGTAGTATCGGTCAGTTAATATTTTTGTATTTCTGAAACAGTAGTAGCTGAAAACTTGAAAGCTAGAAATAAATGTAATCATTAGGATAAACTGCAGTTGTAATTTTGCATTCTACTTTAATTTGCCAACCGTTTGGATGTATAGGTAAAAAGAAGTATACGCGCCCCAATAGGGCATGAAACGGCCCTAATACAGTAGTTTGATAAAAAATGATTGACCTTGTGCAAAAGATTTAATTCATATCTTGTTAAATTCAAATTGTGCCCATAGTTTAAGCTAATTATTTCTACGATTATTACTAAAGTTTATCTAAGTATGTAAATAGAGAGTATAATGTGGATAGATAGATATATGTTAATGTCGATATATGCCATTTTTATGCAATGTTTAAATAGATATTTATTTCAATGATTTGTTTTAGTTGATCCCACAGTCAGGCACGGAGGCCGATAACTTTTTGTTTTTTTTTTCATTGCGTGTGCCAGTTCACACTCGATCACATGACGTATTTGCCACTCCTGCAAATATTCCTCTTTAAGTATTTACATGGTTTTGTACAGCAACGGTAGAGACAGAATTTGTTTCTAAAATCCATTTCAGTATATCTGTATAATAATTATTCTAAGAAACATAAGTAAGCAATAATACTACATTACTTTTTTCTACATATTTACAAGTTTACAAGAAATCGACTAAAATTTTTAGGCCTAATTTCGGTTTCTCGATATATTGTTGATCAAAATTGAAAATCCGAGATATGTAGTGTGGTTTTTGTAATTAATTCTAAGAAAAAAATTATAGATCATGGATTGTTATTGTGACTGATACAATATTAGTGACAAAAAACTTTTGAATTTGTGAAAAATGCTTATTCAGAATTCAAAAATTTTTCCTGGTATTTGGTATTTATTACCTTGTACTCAATTTTTTCTAATACCCTGTATAATTTTGTATGTACATATTCCTTTCTCAAGAGAAATTGGTTTTGTTATTAAATGAAAATCGTTCTAGATATGATACCTATACTAGAGATGTCAGTTTAGTGCATCTTGTTCAACAGTTGTTTTTTTTTAATAGGCCCTTTTTGCTTGTAAAGATTACAAATTTGTATTTCTATATTTTTACAACACATGAAGCTATCACACAGTGCGTTTGCTATAGGTCTTCACACAAACTAACTAAGATTACTTTGGGTAAGATATGATTGTCGTAAGCATAGCGTAAGTGTTGCGAAGCATCTGAACCACAGTATATGTTGGTTGGAAGAAATTTAGAAATTTGGCCCTCCACTAACCAGTCCTCTAGAATGATTATTTTTGTTACACGGCTATATACACACGTGTACATGGCTATTTCTTATAAAATTCCATCCCCCATTGCTCCAATCTCTTTGTTTCACATGGAATTTCATAAAATTATAACACTGTTTCACAAAAAGTTAAACATAAAAAATTTAAACCCAATTTACAGCCAAATTGATTTTAGAAGACTTGAGGGATTAAATTTTATAGTACACACCCTGTACATACTTTAATATCGATACTAAAATTCATAAGAGATTTTTATGGCCACCAAGCAATCCAATTTTTGAGTCATTTTTGAAAATGTCAAATTTTGTTCAAATTCCAATTGGTTTAGAGTATCAAACCCTGAAACAAATGAAAAAAAGTTGTTATTCATACATAGGTATTTTTTTGCCTTACTGGTATCGGGAGGAAATATTTAACTTATTTAAAAATGGTTATTTTAAATTAGAGATGTGTCACGGACATGTGAAAAGTGGACATGTCCGATTTCAAGATCGAAAATAAGTTGTATGCGCATGCGCGGAATTATGTAAAATTAAAGGTGTTTAGCTATTTTCTTGTAATTTTGTTGGTAATAGTTTAACTGACACTGACATTTTAAAAATATAACTTCTTTTATATATCCATATTATATTTTATTATTTTTGTCAAAGTTAACGATTAGTAAACAGTAATCAGTTGATTTTTAATTTATTAATGAACAAATAGTTTATAAATGAAGTATGACGTCAAATTCAACAGTTTGGTTATATTTTTCAGAATTTAGTAAAAATCATTATAAATGTAACTTCTGATGAAAAACAATTTTTAAGAATTCCAGTAGGATGGTAAAATAAGTGTATTGGCTGTCCGGGGAAAATTAGAAACCAGTTTATAAAAAGTCTAAAGGTAGGTAATAAGTAAAATATATCGACACATTCATTAGAAATTAGAATAAAAATAATAATGTGCTTTGTGTACCCTCAAGCAGTGATCTGTGAAAACATGACGTCACTCAAAGGTGCCTATTAGTTTCAAGGTCAAAAGTACGGACATGTCCGTAACACACTTTTCTGAAAAGTGCCCATCTCTATTTTAAATATTGGTGGGAATGCCATGAAGATTCTGATATATTTGGAGATGCTTGGTTGCAGTTTAACACTCTTAAGACAAAATATACTTCTATCTATGTTTCTATATTATAATCTACTGTATATTTACTTCATTTTAGTGAGATTTTGATGAATGATAGAAAAATCGTGCAATTTTGTAATTAGGCGAAACTGTCAAAATTAACTAGAAATTTCCACTTTTATTGATTTCATAGAATAATATTTGCAGGAGCGGGACAAAACTCAATCTGAAAATGAGAAGCTCAAAAAAAAATAAAAAACAAAAAATGATATAAACGAAATGTTTAATAAACATCAAAAAAGAAGTAAGACTTCTAAGAATACTAAATGCAGGAGTACAGAGTTTTAAGGTTACAAATTAAAAATAAACCTGAGAGGCGCGGATAAATGAATACAAAAAAAAACAGCGTCAAATCAAAGAAAAGGTTACACATATAAAAAACTAATAACGACATCCATGAAAGACACATTGTGCGTACTTAAAAATGACAGAAGATAAAAAAATATATCTTTCAACACGTACGTACAGTCACACAACTATAATATTGTAGATATTGACTTCGAATTTGGCAAATGCTGCGTGTGCGATATGTCATCTCAAACGAACGTAGCAGAAATTTCCTTTTTTTCATAGACAGAGATAGACATAGGGAGATGTAGCTCACGCGTTCCTATTCAGTATTTGCATTTTAAAAGTATGATCATGATTGTCAAGTGTAAGTATAATATAGATAGATGAACGTAGAATTTCCCGAGGGCGCCAACGCACGTCTCACATTCAATTTCTTCGATTTCAGTGAAACCCGCGTTTATGGCGCACCGTTCCAGGCAAGCATGTTGAGACAACTTAAGAGAGATTCGCTATGAGATTTGAGTGGAGAAACATGATTGCCTGCCTCGAAAAAATATGAACCGTGTCCCAATACTGAGGGAAACGTTCATATCTCTAGGGTACAGCTAAACCCTGTGGTTGCCCTAAACTAGTCACTGGCTAAAAACTAATTATTCTAAAAATTCCGCGACATACTAACAATACTAGCCATATAATACTATTGGACATGTTCGTGTCGCAAACCGTGCACGAAGCAGCCCTTACAAGTGTTTCTATACAACATGAGATAAACATTTCTCTATAAACTTACAAAAAATAACATCGCGGCGATTCCTTCTTCTTCATAACCCTAAATTTTTCTAACAGTTGCTTAAGAGTTAAAGCCGTCCAATACTGAATACCAAACGCATACAAGAAACAAAAGAATACTTATACAATTGAGTAAAACATACGAGAAACTAGAAAAAAAAAATCATTAATACTAAACCATAAAAAAATACTTAATTTACGTAACGTAAAACTAACCTAACAATACAATTTTAAAAAATACTAAATCATACTGTTCTGTCAACATACTCAAAAAAGCTAATCCTGCCAAATAACAGTCTATATATTATTAATCAATAAATAAGCGCTGTGTTACATTATTTCATTTAGCTACCATGTCGTTGCCACGTCTCACTGACTCGTGACATGGCCTAATGGAATGAATACTGTTCTTTTGGATTTACAGGTCGCATTATATACTCGATTTTGAGAAGGAGACCCTCAGGTGGTTCGATTCCGACAGCTGGTAGTTGTGCATCTTTATCAGTGCAATGACGGCCTCCTCCATGCTGGGCAGCTGGATAAGTGCCATCTTCTTGTCTTTTCTATAATTTCAAAAATTGTATTGGAATTTAGTAAACCAATCATGATAATTAACCTATACAGGGTGATTCACAACTTATCCAAAAAAATTTGGGAATATATGCGGCATGAGAAATGTAGTCAATATCGAAAAAAAGTTTTTTGTAAAAAAAAATATTGGAGTTGTACTACTTTCAAACATTACATCGCTGGATAACTGTAGTCTCTAGCGTCATTCGCAATATGCGTGATAGCCACGTGGCCTCAGCGACTCCCAATACAATCGTCATTGCGATAATGTTTACAATAGCTTTTTAGTACCTAGTTAGTGTCAAAAATGGCTTGTATGTATACCAACTCATGAAGCAGGACAACATTTGTGTTAGTTCATAGAAACTGAGTAAGATAGGTCCTATCTTACTCAGTTCTTACTCAATCGTTAAATGTGTTTACACGTATACTCCGCGGTCAAAATTATAGAGAGTGACTCATCGCTAGCTTTTGGACTAGTAAGGAGGATGAAGCGTGCCGGGAACGAAAATCCATTGGCATGTCTGCGTAAAAGGCAACAAGATATAGAAAATATTGAAAAAGATAATAAAACATAACATCTAATATTTTGTTACGGTTTGCTATAACCGGCACTTTGATCCAGTTTAATTATTACAGCATTTTAAAACATCCCAGTTGTGTTTTTTTAATTTATAAATTTATTATAGGTCGATATTATCGGTCAATAGCCGCACGGTTTAAGGCGTCAGTACTTAAATCGATGTGTCGAACTGCCCGGGTTTCGAATCCCGCGGCCGGTGGCGCCCTCTGTGCAGGTATGGTAGGGTGGAAGAATGTTGGCTTGGGTCAATGTGAGAGATTGACACCGGTTGGCATTTGACCACCCCCCTAATTAATGAGGTTTTCCAGGTTTCCCTCATTCCTGCACTGAATGGTGGTTAGGGCCTACCAACATAAGTCGTTCCTGGGCGCAAATGCGGCCTGCGTAATAATAATATGCCGCCTCCTCTCCCGCACAAGTCTCCGACTTCTGGGCTAATTCTCGTAGTTAGAATGAGGAGTAGAGATATTATTATTATTA